AAAAGTAAAAAAGTACAAGATTCAACCTTGCTACATATGAATAGTGCATAAAAAACATGCACAAAGTTGACTTATTGATACTAATGAAAAAATGAAAAGTGGTCTGCATGGTGTTGATAAGGCATAATACATTATAATACATTTTATTTCCATTTAAATGTGCCACACTATTTTAAATGCTTGATCAACATTAATTCACTTAAAATTAAGGAAGAGAATGACTGATTTTCTAGTCAAGAAAGTACCCTAAGAGAGGGATGCTTCAGTTTTGAAAAACCAAGTTTTTTCAATCTGGCATCCAGATTTGAGCCCAAGATGCTTCATTTTCTTTTCATGAGTCAGAGGCATATTCTAACAGAACCGTTTCTAATCTTTTAGGTGAGTGTGAAAGACCAACAATTAGGGTCTGCTGAATGGTAGAGCTTCTAGTGAAAGGAAGAAAATGACTAATTCTGGATTTGGGGGCTCTCTATTTCTAGAGTCTGGTCTTATTTTGTATTAGTATCAAAGGAAGGGTACATATACTGGTTAAGTATGTAGCTGGACCATCTTGGCTCTACCACTTATTAGCTGTAGTAACCACCTTGGACAAATTAAACAACTTTTGCTCATTTCTTCATCTATAAAGCAAGGGTAATACCTCAAAGGGTTGTTACAGGGATTAAACAGGTTCATATTTATAAAAGTTCATAGAATAATACCTAGAGTTTAACACATCAGCTATTCTATTTAAGTACATTGGCCCTTTCTTTTTGACTATTTTGTACAACTGTTTTTCCATCCTGCCTATGTGCCTATGGTTTATAAAGGAGCAGATTACCTTCTGTTTACCTGTACTTGTCAGCTAGTCCTATCCCTGTCTCCTTTGAACATTAAGCATAATTGGGGTTGGAGTTATGGTAAATGAAGTATAGAACAGATGGATTAGACCACTTACAGGTTACTAAAGGAGCAGCATTCTCTTATCCTATTTTGGGATCTCTTCTTGCTATCACATAGGTAAGGCCCTGAAAATGTTAAATGTAGGACAAAGGTTAATTGGCTAAATTTAGTGTAGGCCTTCCAAAAGGAATCTTCTTCATTCTATCATAAACCATTGCAATATACAGAGACCTCATACAGATTTAGGGCTCTGTAGCCCTAATGGTCTACTGCCTCTGTATGGCTCCTTCAGAATTGTAGAAGGTGGAGACAGTTGATTGAAGACGTAAATACAGGATTTCCTTTGGCTCTTATTTCAACTTAATAATGACACAGGCAAATGACTAAAGGAAGGTATTATAAACCTTCTGCAAAAAATTTTTAGTGTCACTAGCAGGGTTGGTACATACTTAACCCTATATTTCATACCATCTACAGCTTCATTTTTAGTACAGAACCCAATATTTAGAAAAACACTGAAAATATTTCATGTTTAAAGTACAATCCTGTTTTAAAGATAAAACTCTAATAACAATAATAGCAAAAGATCTAGAAAAAGTTAGCCAAGATTATATAGACAAAGTTATACTGGACGATAAAGGAAGAAAACCCTAAATATTGTTTAGAGAGCTTTTGAATTCTTCTACACAATTATAATGTCATGAAAATCTTTTATAAAAGCAACTTATAATTTGTTGAAATTTCCAGAAGAAAATTATAATCTTCACAATGGAATTAAAAAAATTATTTTTTGTACTGGTGATTAAAACTTTACCACTGCACTATGTCCACAGCCCTTTTTCTTTCTTTTTTAAAAATTGGAAGCCAGGAATGATGGAGCACGCCTGTGGCTCAGAAGGCTGAGGAAGGAGGATCATGAGTTCAAAGCCAACCTCAGCAAAGGTGAGGTGCAAAGCAACTCAGTGAGACCTTGTGTCTAAATAAAATACAAAATAGGGCTGGGGATGTGCCTCAGTGGTCAAGTGTCCCTGAGTTTAAACCCGGCACCAAAAAAAAAAAAAATTGAGACAGTGTCTTGCTAAGTTGCTGAGGCTGCCCTCAAACTTGTGATCCTCCTGCCTTATCTTTGTAAATTGCTAGGATTATAGCTCTAGTTGACTGAATTTCTAGGTAACTAAATATCCTTGTGTAAAAGGTTTTGTCTTGTTTAGTAACTTCCTTTTTAATTTTCTGAAAGCAGAATCTCTTCAATTATTTTATCTGAAAATTTTCTTTTAGAAATGAGATATGCAAACTGATACTGAATTCATGTCTTGGGCCACTCCAGTATTTATTATCAAGTTGATGTATGATGATGTATCAGGATTTTATTTAGCAGAGAGAAGATAGGAAAACAACACACTTTTAAGTTTGTTATGTGTTATTTCTGTTTATTTTTCAAACAAGGACCCAAAGACTAAGATCTGAAGATACTCATATATTGTGATGCCTTGAAATCCTCCTGGGGCACAAGGGTTCAGACTTTCTCAGTGAGACAAAGTGTGAGAGGATGCATAAGCAGTGTTTATAGGTACACATATTCACTGTTATATTTTAACAACTGAATAGTGTCAGTAAAGTTACCATTTAATAAGGATTTGGTGGATTGAGTTTTTGAAGCTAAAGTATGTGTTCTAATGGTAAAGATTTCAACTACTTTGTTATAATTCTGTGCTTTGAAAGTATTTAAGAAATGGCAAATGTTTGCTCTTTTATTTGGAAAATGTTTGCAAATGTCTTACCAGGATAAAATTTTATCCCCAAATTTACCACGAATATTTTGCTATAAATAGCAAACTAAATGTATATACTCAATTCTTGTGGCAAAAGATTTCTCAGGAGCAACTTAGAGTCAACTATTTTAGTACAGTTGTAGATTCTGTCCATTTAAAAAAAACCTTTTTTTTTTTTCTTTTAATGGTGCTAGGCATGGAACTCAGGGCCTCAAACATGCTGACAAGTGCTCTATCACTGAGATACACCTCTAATCCTAAAAATAATTGATTCAGTACTAAAAAAAATTATTTTTCAAAGTCATAGCTCAGATAAAATCTTTCAAATGAATGTAACATGTTTTTGTCTTTCTACAATAAAAACAAAAATCCCTCATAGCAAATTTCTTAGTTGAAGCATCAGCTTTTCAAGTTTAGTTTTCTATTAAGTTTTCCCCCTGGACATAATCAAATTATTGAATGGCAGCCAGGCATGGTGGCGTAGGCCTGTAATCCCAGTGACTTGGGAGGCCGAGGCAGGAGGACTGCAGGTCTGAAGCTAGCCTCAGCAACTTAGGGAGGCCCTAAGCAATTTACAGAGACCGTGTCTCAAAATAAAACATGATGGATGGCGGGGCTGAGGATATAACTCAGTTGGTAGAGTGCTTGCCTTGCATGCACAAGGCCCTGGGTTCAATCCCCAGCACTCGTTCCCCCTACACACACACACACAAAAAAAAAAAAAAAAAAACCCAAAAAACATGATGGGGGTGGGGGAGGAATAGAAGTTCCCTGGATTAGACAAACAGGGACAAAGGGAATGGAGAGGATATGGGATATAGAAGCAACTTATAATTTGTTGACAGTAGACTTAATCGGACATAACTTTCCTATGTTCATATATGAATACACAACCAGTGTGTCCACATCATTTACAACTACCAGAATGTAGTTGTAAAACTAAAAAGAATAAAAAAGTAAAACATAAAAAAAGAGTTGGGGATGTAGCTCAGTAGTTAAGCACCCTGGGTTCAAACCCCAGTACCAAAAAAAAAAAGTCTAGATTAAAGATCTGGGGTTTCTTCTAGACTTCTATCACTTTGGAAGGTTGTGAAAAATGGAGGAAAATTCTATTAAAGTGTCAGTATTGTTATAAAATGAAACAGATTATCTCAGGAAAATAAAACAACTAGTTTAAAGGTTATTTCTATTTTCCCCAATGACACCAGTATATCATTATTTGTTTGGCTTAAAAACTACAAATGTTTACACCTAAGTAAACACAAGTTCTACACAGAAATTTTGCAGCTTCACAGTTACGGTCAAATCTGTAACTTAGGTTTTATATTCAAACGTATGTACATTGATGGAAATGAGAAACCCTCTAAATTTTGCCATTAGCATTAATGTCTGTTGAACTTTCTTTAAAGTTGCAAACGTTTCCATCAGGTATTTTAGGGACAGCTGGGGTGGGGTAAATCTGTCGCGGATAACGGTTTATGTAAACGTGAAAGCTTCTGACGTGTAGCAGAAGCGTGGCCGAACCTGCAACGCTTAACAAATGGCTGATTGGTTCCCAAACTTTAGGCTCAATTCCAGTTGAGCGAAGAGGGGCACGTTTCTAGCCCGGAAGAAAAATGAGTTACAAGGAATGAGCGAAAGAAAGAACAAAGTTGGGCCGTATCCTTCCTCTGCGATGGAGGCAGAGAACAGAAGCCGCAGGCCGGGGGATGCAAGGTTAGCGGGATGTGAAGCCAGGCGAGGCAGGACGGGACAGTGACCTGGAAGAGCCGGGCGACGCTGGTTGGGCGCCAGCGGCCCGCGACCACTTACCAGGCCAGGCCTAGGCACGTCCCCAGCGACAGCAGGCTCAGGCCGGTCCTCGGGTCCGCCCAGCCGCCCCCTTGGGCCTCGGGGCTCTTCCTGCCCTCACCCCGTTTCACGGGCTCTGCAGGGGCTCCCTTAGGCCCCGGCTTCTTCCTACTCTTCACCTCGGACATGTCTGGACGCTCTGAGGACCGCAACGGCGGGGCGGCTGTTCACCCAAGCGAGCGGGACGTGGCCGGCTTCCACTTCTTGGGAAGCCTCGCCCCCTGACAGACCGGGCAACGCCCAGAAGCCAGCTCCATCCCTCTCCCGGCCATCCTCGCTCCTTCGTCGCGCCTCCTCGCCTCCGGGTTCCTCCAGCTGAGGAGCGCTGCGGCCACACCTCCCGCTTCCTCTGCGTAATTGCCGCAAACGCGAGGAAATCGAAGCTCGCGGGCGCGCGCAGGCTGCCGGGACTCCTGGGCGCGGGGCGGGGCCGCACGCGCCACGTCGAGCCCTCTGCTCCGAAGAACGCGGCGCGCCCTGGTAGCGTAACCACGCCCCCACCGCGGGATGGGAGGGTGCGTCCCTGTGCGCGCGCGGCGGCCGCCCCGCGGACATTAGGATGTGTGCATTTGCACGCGCGGGCACACTATTTGGACTGGTCTGGCCGGGCGGGGTTTGACTGCTCAGCGGTCCTGAGGCGGAGAGGAGGCGGTAACTAGTGGACCCTAATGCGTTAGCCCTGGACAGAAGGGATAAGGGAGCCAGAGCGAGGGGCAGGGCTGCAGGCGACCTGCAAGGATTTGAAGTTGCCGCGGCGAACGGCGCCAGGGTCCCGAAAGGTGCGACTCCAGCCGGAGGGAAGAGCGACAGCTCTAGTGGCCCTCCTCCTTTTGTGTCTCCGGGCAGGGTCCGCCCGCAGGCGGGGCTTGCGGAGGTCGGGCCGCGGGGTGACACCCGCGCCGAGGGCCCTCGGATCTTCCTCACTCCGGGTTGCGGAGGCTCTGGTGAGGACCTGCCCCGGCTTAGGTCGCTGGGAAACTGCGCCCCGCGCCCCCATTCCCCGTCGGAAGTCGGGGTTACAGTACTCCGCCACTGACCTGCACTCGTGCAGTCTGACCCGGCAGGGCTGCTCCTCCCGGTAAGACCTCTGCACAAAGGTTTGGCTAAGTTTACCTCCCTGCTTTTCTCCCGGAACTAGGTTCTTTGGAGGTTCTCTAGGCGATTTCCAGGGACTGAGGATTTGGGGACATGGAATATTCGATAACAGTTCTGCTTCTGTACCAGGAAGAGAAATTATCTAACGAGGAAGTAGTAAACTATTAGCATTTTCCTGGGTGAATTTAGCATTTACTTTGTATTTTACATCTATGAAGATTTTTGGCTTTTGCATTTTGATGTGTTTACAAAAGGTGGGACACTTTGAGAATTTGTTCATATTTCAATTTGTGCAAAGTTTTAAGAAGTATTTAAAACTCATATCTGTAAGTTTAATAGGGCTGGGTAAAACTGGAAGTTAGTTTGAAATTGCTAAGAGTATTTATGAACCTGGAAGTTCACTTTTGTTCTGTGATATCAATTTTTATTACTATAAATTGGAAAAGTATTTTATGTTTAACAAAATAGAAACGTTAACATTTTGAAAATATGACAGTCTTGATTGTGATCCTAACTTTTTTTTTAATCAGTAAGTTTCATGCCAGTTCTGGGCATTTTGTGAACAAACATGGGCAAATGCCCTGTTTCCCTATTTTTTGCAAGTACTACATTTGGTGACTTTTCAAGAAATATGATCATTTTCAAAGCTTAATAGTTTTTGTTCCTCTTCTGTGCTCTCCAAATTACTTGTGTTTATATCTAGTCTTACAATTAGGACATTCACATTCTAATTATCTCTTTTTCTTCTACTAGATTGTGAATTCCTTCAGGTACATGACTTAATCTTCTCTGTAGTCTCAGTGTTTGGCACATGGGAGAGGCCATAAATGTGTATTGAATGATTAATGTCCCCATTTAGACATTCTCAATATAATACATTGGATGTTTTAAAAACTTTCACACTTTCTGAACTGGGTTTTATTCTTGTGGAAAAAAATTGCATTGTATTTAAAATGAAGTTGGTATAATCGATCAAAGTATGTTTCTGTAAAGAACATTCTTTCCTTGTTACCTCTTAATCCAAGAAATGATATCAGAGAGTATTTCCTGATGCTTTGTGAGAAGTGTGTTTACTAATGAAGACCTAGAGCTGACAACAACTTTGAGAACTAATACTCAATTCCAACAATGCTGTGTTCAGTCTTATGTTGGATAAAGAAAACAAAAAACTTTTAAGCATTAAGGACCTCAGTATAATCACTGTTTTATAAAATCTTAATTATTTGTTTATTTAATTAAAAAAAGTTTTTTGAGACAGGGTCTTGTTAGTTGTTGAGACTGGACTTGAACTTTTTTTTTTTATTGGTTGTTCATAACATTACAAAGCTCATGACATATCATCTTTCATACATTTGATTCAAGTGGGTTATGAACTCCCATTTTTACCCCAAATACAAGTTGCCGAATCACATCGGTTACACATCCACATTTTTACATAATGCCATATTAGTGACTGTTGTATTCTGCTACCTTTCCTATCCCCTACTATCCCCCCTCCCCTTCCCTCTCATCTTCCCTCTCTACCCCATCTGCTGTTATTCAATTCTCTCCCTTGTTTTTTTTTTTCCCCTTTCCCCTCACAAACTCTTATATGTAATTTTGTGTAATAATGAGGGTCTCCTTCCATTTCCATACAGTTTCCCTTCTCTCTCCCTTTCTCTGCCCCCACTCATCTCTGTTTAATGTTAATGTTTTCCTCATGCTCTTCCTCCCTGTTCTGTTCTTAGTTGCTCTCTTTATATCAAAGAAGACATTTGGCATTTGTTTTTTAAGGATTGGCTAGCTTCACTTAGCATAATCTGCTCTAAAATGCCATCCATTTCCCTGCAAATTTGGACTTGAACTTTTGATCTTCCTGTCTCAAGTCTTCCAAGTAACTGGTATTACAGGCATGTTCCACCATGCCCAGTGCCAATATCTTAATTAAAAAAAAAAAAGTATTGTAGAAATGATTTGTATTGAAAAAAAATTTAGACAATATAGAAGAATACAAAAAAGAAAAGGAGGAAAATCCCTAATCTTGCTATTCAATAGCCCAAACATTTGGATGAAAAACTTCTAAACATCTCCCTGTATAATTATATTATCTCAATACATGTTTTGTGTTTTTTGGGATTATATTTCTATTTTTCAGTCAGCAGTGTATCAGGAATATCATTCCATGTCAATACACAGTGATAATGTGTTTTATAATTTGAAATGGCTGTATCATATACTTATTTATATGCACCTTAATTTTCTTAAAAAAAATCTGCATTCAGAATGATGGACATTGAGGTTGTGTTCACTTTTTTCCCCCTCACCTAAACATTCTCCACTAAATTAAAAAAATTTTTTTTGTAGTTGTAGCTGGATACAATACCTTTATTTTATTTATTTATCTTTATGTGGTGCTGAGGATTGAACCCAGGGCCTCACACATGCTAGGCAAGTGTTCTACCAGTGAGCTACAACCCAACCCCATCTCCATTAAATCTTTTTTTTTTTTTTTTTAAATATTTATTTTTAAGTTTTAGGTGGACACAACATCTTTATTTTATTTTTATGTGGTGCTGAGAGTCGAACCCAGTGCCTCACGCATGCTAGGCAAGCACGCTACCACTTGAGCCACATCCTCAGCTCCTCCATTAAATCTTTTTTTTTAAATGATCAACTGACTTTTTTTTTTTTTTTTTTTTTTTTTGAGAGAGAGAGAGAGAGAGAGAATTTTTATTTTTTTTTTTTAGTTTTCGGCGGACACAACATCTTTGTTTATATGTGGTGCTAAGGATCGAACCCGGGCCGCACGCATGCCAGGCGAGCACACTACCGCTTGAGCCAATCCCCAGCCCATCCATTAAATCTTTTTGTGGATATTTTTTGCATAAATTTGTGTGACCATCTCTTTGAAGTAGAAGTAGGATTTCCAGGTTAAAGAGAATGCCTATTTTAAACATTTTTAGTATACATGCTGATAAATCGAGCACTCTTTAAAACATTTTTTATTTTTTTTTTGCTACCTTCCAGAAAAGTTACATCATTTGTACTCTCCTCAAGTAGTAAGAATGCTTATTTTTCTCAAACCTTTCAAAGCATTGGCTTTTGTTCATTTTCAGAAGTCTCAGCCAAAAAAAAAAAAAAGCAAAAGATGAAGAAAAAAGAAAAAGAAAACAATCTTGCTTTCTTTACATTTCTTGATTATTTCTGGAGTTTATGTATCTTTTCTGTATTTATTGTCTTGACAAATATTTTGGTATTTTGCCTGTAGCTCATGGTTGACAGTGCAGAGAGAAAGAACTTTGAGGGACAATGGATGCAAAAGCTCGAAATTGTCTACTTCAGCATAGAGAAGCTCTGGAAAAGGACATTAAAACATCCTACATCATGGATCACATGATTAGTGATGGAGTTTTAACAGTGTCAGAAGAGGAAAAAGTAAAAAATCAGGTAAAGCCCTTTGAAGCAATCTGTGCTTTCTTAAAAATTTTTAGAATTTAAGAAATTTTGGAACTTTTCATGGGTCTTTCCATTCATTTATGTTGCAGACATATTCATTGCTATATACTAAACTACTTATTTTTTTTTTAGCCCACACAACATCAACGAGCAGCTATGCTAATTAAATTGATACTTAAAAAAGACAGTTATTCCTATATATCATTCTACAATGCTCTACTACATGAAGGATATAAAGATCTTGCTGCCCTTCTTCATAGTGGCATTCCTGTGCTTTCATCTTCCAGTGGCAAAGATTCAAATGGTGGAATAACTTCATATGGTTTGTACCTTTGATACCTTCTGTCATATTTCTATGATGATGGCTACTACATTTCTTCAGGTTTATCTGTAATCTGAAAAATATGATCAGTTCACTGAAAAATGCATATGAAAAAATTGTGATATTTTCAATTTAGATATTTCGATGTTAACACATTTTCTTCTCAGGGAGCTATTTGTTGCTTAGATCATATGCAGGCCCTAATTTTTAGAGTTAACCAGACTTTCTAGAGACCCTTATTTAAGTTCTTTTTTACTTCTCTGTGTTTGTAGAGTTTACAGGAAAGAATAAAAAGATCTATATTCTTGAAAGGAGTTTCATAAACATTTTCTCCTTTACACTTTTTTTTTTTTTTGCAATGCTGGAGATCAAGCTTAGGACCTTGCACATGCTAGGCAAACATTCCACCTTTCCCAGTCTCTAGTATGAGACACAGACTGGAGAGTCAGAGAGTCATAGGGTGTATTAAGCAGGTATTGATAGACAATTCCATTGTTTGTAGTCATCTTGAAGGATACATGTTTGCTTTTTTTCTCCATGTTCTGAGAAATCAGAAAGTTGAAGTTAATATGCTAGTCATTTTCTTTTGAAAATTCTGAGGCTAAGACCTTGGTTTGTTCTTTTTATTTTTTTGTGGTATTATGTAAGTAGCCACTTCAAAGTTATATTCATGCATACTTGTTTTGGATTTCAGTAAGGACAGTGCTGTGTGAAGGTGGAGTACCACAAAGGCCAGTTGTTTTTGTTACTAGAAAGAAGCTGGTGAATGCAATTCAACAGAAACTCTTCAAATTGAATGGCGACCCAGGATGGGTCACCATATATGGAATGGCAGGCTGTGGGAAGTCTGTATTAGCTGCAGAAGCTGTTCGAGATCATTCACTCTTAGAAGGTAAGTTTTGACCTCTGTGTTGGTGGCTAAGAAGATAATTCTTTAGGCATTCTATTAGTTTTCTGTTGCTGCTGGTAATAAATTACCATAAATTTAGTGGCTTAAAACAAAATTTATTATCTTATAGTTCTGGAGTTTTTTTTTTACTAGGCTATAATCAAAGTGTCAACAGGGAGGCCTTCCTTCTTTCATTTGAAGGCTCTTGGAGAGAATTTTTTCCTTGCAATTTTCCCCTTGTGGAGGAATCTTGCATTCCTTGACTCACGATCTTTTCCTTAAGACCAGCAGTGCATACATAGTATCTTCATACTCCTCCCCATCTTTTTGTCTCACACTTTCTTTTCTGATGTGACACCACATAAAAAATATTAAAAATAAATAAATAAATAAATAAAAATTCTTAGTATCTTTTCTGTCTGTGTGTAAGCCCCAAGAAGAAAACCTGGGACTTGACTGTAGCAGTCAATGGGTGTTCACAGGTGGGCTGAGATTGGCAGTTTTAGGCACAGGTCATCCAAAAAGAAGGTATAGTCTGTATAACTGAGGAATTCACTCATAGTCTAGTAGGATAACCAGACATACAATCAATTATGATTATGTGATAAATTAGAAGAAAATATAAGGTTTAAAGTTAGAACAAAGGAAGGGAACATTAACTCTGGGGGAAATAGGTAGATAGCACAGGTTTCCTCAACAAGGTGATATTTTAGCTGGAGTTTGGAGAAAAAAATAGAAGTTTACTAGGTAGATGAGCTAGGGATGGGAGAGTAGGGAAAGGAGGAAGGGTGGTTACTGGATGGGGAGGGCATCCTGGGCGGAGGAGGGTTACAGGCATGCTTGTAGATGTGAGTCTGGTAAGTTCTGAGGATATTCATCAGGAATAGTCCTAGAGCTTCCTCAGTGTTTGGTTGTGAACTCTTCTAGGGAAATTCAAAGGTAGTTCCTGATTTCTTATAGTTAAACTTTTTCTTTCTTTGCATATGAGACATAATTAGCAGTTAAGGCTGATAAATTGAATGGAATAAGAAGTATTTAAAAATCTGAATCTAAGAGATTTGAAAAGATGGATGTTAGGGCATATCTGTTGTACACATAAGACTTTAGTTTATAACTTCATAGGCTGCTTTGTTAGTAGCATTTATTATACTCTTGTCAGAAGAATGTCTAATTCCCAATCTTTGATTTTTTTCCTTCTGTCATTATAGAGAAATTTTCTGTGACTTAGCCTCTTGCAAATCTCAGATTCAAGTGTCTATCTATCTATCTATCTATCTATCTATCTATCTGTTTTTGGTACTGGGGATTGAATCCAGGGCATTTAACCACTGAACCACATTTTTGATCCTGATCTTTTTTTTTTTTTTTTTTTTTTGTACTAGGGATTGAATCCAGGGACACTTAACCACTGAGCCTTTTCCTCAGCCCCCCATGTCTTTTTCTTTGTATTTTATTTATAGACAGGGTCTCACTGAGTTGCTGAGGTTGGCTTTGAACTCGCAATTCTCCTGTCTCAGCTTCCCGAGCCACTGGGATTACAGGCATGCACCACTGCTCCCTCCCCATTTTATTTTTTATTTTGAGACAGAGTCTCACTAAGTTGCTTAGGGCCTCATTAAGTTGCTGAGGCTGGCCTTGAACTTGCAATCCTCTAGTTTCAGTTTCCTGAAGTGCTGGGATTTATAGATGTGTGCCACCATGCCTGGCTAGGAAATATTTTTTAACCTCTATTGCAAAGTTGATCACTGAGGATATTTCAGCATAAATTTGGCTTAAGTTCCTTTAGTGTAAAGAAATAAGTTTTTATTTCAATATTATGAACTTTTAAAAAATGTGTATTTATAATATAGTAATTTATAGGATTAAAAGAATACCCCATTTAAATTATATTGTGATGAATTTTCAATTTTAGGGATTAAAGTTGAACATAAGTTTATGGAATTAGATGACTTAGTAATCATATTGTATAAATTGTTATCTTAGAATAGAGATTAACCATTTTGTTGAGGAAATCCCAGCTATATTAATAGCTGTCCAGTACATGTAAATTTAATTCATTTCCCTCATATATTTTTGTGAGATCTCAAGTTCAGAGGACTGAGTTAATCATGTCCTTTAGTTCATGGTTCATTTTTTTTTTTTTTTTATGTCTTTTCGACCTTAGCCTCTTACTGTATTTGTTTGTTTATTTCCTTTTCAAAATTCCCATTTTCGTTTTTTTCCTGTCCCTTTTTGTATTATAAATAATAGAATCCCAGTATATTTAATATATGTTTTTAATAAATACCTGTGTATTGTACATGCTTTTATAAAATGTCTATGTTGTTTGTATGTGGATATTTTAAATTTGCACAAATGTTATGGTGTTATTTTATTGTGTTTCTTATCTCCTATGACATTGTTGAGATTTATCCTTGTTGCTGAATATACAAGTTATTTGTTACACCTGATTGCTATGAACATATTTTACTATCCATTCCCCTAATATAGTAATTTAATACGTACATTGTCTCCAACTCTCTGTTGCTCCAGCAAAGCTGGGTTGAATCTTTAAAAGAGTGTTTTTTTAGTGTATATTTCTAGAAGAGTTGCTAAATTAAATGATGGGATATACCAACATCAAATTTGGTTGTACCACAGTTTGTGTTTCCACCAGCAGGGTATGGGGGCTCCAAGAGCCTTACTTTCCCAGTGACAGTGTAGTCCAACTTTATAATTTTTATAAGGCTGGCTGATGTAAAGTTATATCTTTCAATTTGCATTTCTTTTATAACTCAGGTTTGAATATTTTTTTATAAGCTTGTTAGTGTTTTAGGTTTTCTTTTATAGATTTTGTTTATATCAGTTGTGTACTTTTTTATTGGGATTTCCATCTGTTGCTTTTCAGGAGTTTCTTGTGTGTTCTCAATGTTAGACTTCTTGGTTTTTGACTTTGTAAATACCTTATTCTAACGTATTCTCTGTATTGACTTTGTCCTGGATGCTCTTAAAGAAGAGAAGTTTTTAATTCCCAAATAGTCAAATTAATAATTTTTTTTGCATTCTAATTTGTACTTCCCAAGTTTTGCTTATATCATCCTGTATCAGCCTCATGTATCAGCCTCACCATTTATATTGAACTCTTCAATCTCTTGAGTTTGCTTTTGTATGTTTGCTAGTTCAGGAGTAGATGCTTTCTGGGGCTGTGTAGGTAGCTGAGAGCTTGTCTAGCCCATGCAATGACCTGGATTCAATCCCCAGCACCACAAATGAACAAAAAGAGATGCTTTCTCAAAGATAGATTTTACTCTTTTGAGATTACTTCCATTCAAAACTTTAGGAATTTGGCTTTTTGCCATTAATTATAATGTAAAACCTTTTATTTTAAAAGTGTAGATAATGGGAAAGGTTACATACTTTTTAAAACTGGTTTCTATAGAAATTTTGTTATCTTAGGTGATTGATATAAAAAATGTTAAGTTCTTAGCTATTTATGCCTAGATATTTTTAAGTAACCCAATTTTTTTTTCACAGTTTAAACCCTGTATTTATTTTATTTGTAGAGAAATTGTTGACATATCTTTAGACCATTTACTCTAAGCTTTTCTTTTTTATTATTTATTTGTTTTAATTAGTTACACATGACAGTACAATGATCTAGACATATCATATATTTGTACTCTAAGCTTTTCATATAGGCTGCCTACTTATTTGTTTCTGTCCTTCCCAGGATTTCCTTGATGCTATTAAATTGCTTACAGGAAAAACCTCATGTGAAAGTAGGATAGGATTTGTTTTCTTAGAATAAAGGCAGTTTTTCTCAGAATAAATTTCTCTGAGTGAATTATAAGTAAACCCTCATTCAAGGCTAAATTGCTCCCTCTTGTGCCCATAGTTAAGATGTTTAGGTTCTTTCTGAAATGTGGAAATAATAAATCAGTATTTATTTATTTATTTTTAACTATTTTTTAAAATTTATATATGACAGCAGAATGCATTACAATTCTTATTACATATATAGAGCACAATTTTTCATGTCTCTAGTTGTATACAAAGTATATTCACACCAGATTGTGTCTTTATACATGTACTTTGGATAGTAATGACCATCACATTCCATCATCATTTCTAACCCCATGCCTCCTCCCTTCCCCTCTAACCTCTTTGTCCTATCTAGAGTTTGTCTATTCCTTCCATGCTCCCTCTCCGTACCTCACTATGAATCAGCCTCCTTATATCAGAGAAAACATTTGACATTTGTTTTTTGTGGATTGGCTAACTTCTCTTAGCATTATCTTCTCTAACTTCATCCATTTACGTGCAAATGCCATGATTTTATTCTCTTTTATTGCTGGAGTAATATTCCATTGTGTATATATGCTGCATTTTTTTATCCATTCATCTATTGAAGGGCTTCTAGGTTAGTTCCCTAGCTATTGTGAATTATGCTGCTATAAACATTGATGTGGCTGTGTCCCTGTAATATGCTGATTTTACCAAGGAGAAGGATAGCTAGATCAAATGGTGGTTCCATTCCCAATTTTGCAAGAAATCTCCATACTACTTTCCTTATTGGCTGCACCAATTTGCAGTCCCACCAGCAGTATATGAATATATCTTTTCCTCCACATCCTTGCCAACACTTATTGTTGCTTAACTTCATAATGGCTGCCATTCTGACTGGAGTGAGATGAAATCTTAGAGTGATTTTGATTTGCATTTCTTTGGAAATGTTGGTCACTTGATCTGCTTTTCTTTTTCACATAAGAAGTTTGAATTTTATTTTTAGCTCAGTAGCAAACAATTGAAAGGTTTTGAGCAGAGTATTTTTTAAAAGATCTTTCTGGTTTCTGTGAGGAAAGGAGAGAATTTAGGAAATAAGAACAGAGGCAGAAGAACCAGTTGGTTCAACTGAGAGAAGAAAGGGACTTGGACTCAGATGTATGCAGTTGACTTGGAGCACAGTGATTGGATTGGGGATGCCTTAGATCCAGAAATGTTAGGGGTGATGATGGGGTGCTGAAGGAAGGCTGACAGGAAGTCCACAGCTGCAGGGAACGCAAGATGGCTTCAGGGGAGTGAGATTCTGTCTACCTTTCTTTGTAAAGCTTGTAGTGTTTTTTTGTTTTTGTTTTTATTTTTATTTGTGCATGTATTGATAATGCCCTGTTTAGTTTTAAATTTAGGAGAGAAAGGCTTTTAACCTAAGCATTATTAAGTCCTTAAATTAAAATGTGAGTTTACTAGGTAGCTGCATCAACACGCTGAGATTTTAAAGCACAGAAGCTTTCTCCAAAGGTTTTTGTATGATTACGTTTTTAGAATAGTGATTTATTTTTATACCTAATTATTGTGAATACCAATAAATAAACTGCCCTTGGATATAATTTATGTTTTTGTTTTTTTCTTTTTCTTATATTTTTATGATCATGTAATAGAAATCTTTATGGTTAATGTCACTTATCAGTGATCTAATGCTACTGTTCACCATATTTTGGACATAGAGATTCCTTATATATACATATAATATATTTGTGTATTTTTATTTATTTATTTATTTAAATTTTAATATTTATTTTTTAGTTTTCGGCGGACACAACATCTTTGTTTGTATGTGGTGCTGAGGATTGAACCCGGGCCGCGCGCATGCCAGGCGAGCGTGCTACTGCCTGAGCCACATCCCCAGCCCATATTTTGTGTATTTTAAAAAAACATTTATTTTTTAGTTGTAGGTGAATACAATACCTTTATTTTATTTTTATGTGGTACTAAGGGTCGAACCCGGTGCCTCACATGCTAGATGAGCGCACTACCTCTGAGCTATAACCCCAGCCCTTATTTGTGTATTTTTTTAACCTGTGAGAAGCCAATTAAGTCTGAAGGCTACACTTTAGAGTCTTCATACATATGTATGAAAATACACATGTGAAGATACATATGTAAATAAAGATGTGGTTTAATTAACAATATTGATGGTAACAGTAATAATAATAATGACTATTGTAAGTGCTTACTAGTTCAGAGCTTAATATTTATAAGGTACTCTCAGATTTATAACACCAGTAATCCTGTTTGTTATAATCTTTTACAATTAACAGCAGTTTCAAAGCTTTATGTTGTTAATTTCTCACAGCAACTCTGAAATAGCTGGACTAGAGTATAAGAAATGAGACTGAGTTAAGTGACTGTGGTTACTAACGATTGCATAGCTAGTAAACAGTAGAGCCATACTTGAACTTAACTTACTTTAAAAGTTTGTATAAAAGAACCATGATGAATAACTTATGTGATCCTGGACATCAGTGTTTTTTTTTTTTTTAAATATTTATTTTTTTAGTTATAGGTGGATGCAATATCTTTATTTTTAAGTGGTGCTGAGGATCGAACCCAGTGCCTCATGCATGGTAGGCAAGAGCTCTACCTCTGAGCCACAACCCTAGCCCATATTAGTGGTTCTTAATCTGAGTGATTTTGTTGTCCAGGGAACATTTGACAGTGAGTGTTTGGAGGCAGTTTTGGCTCTTAGTACTTCTAAGGGGGAATTATACTGGCACCCAAAGGGATAGAAACCAGGATGGCTGTTGATCTTCCTGTAATGCACATGAATGTCCCTTACAACAAAGAATTATTCAGCCCCAAACATCAAGAGTGTTGAGGCTGAAAAATGGTGTTATACCATGATTACTGATGATATACACCAAAGATAGCAAAATTTTGCTTGGTGAGATTTCCTGATAATCAGTACAAGATTTCCTCCAAGCCTCAGTTTATTTAGATCTTAAATTTCTTTTCAGATTCAAACTTTAAAACTCAATAATAGCCTATCAAAATTTATAGCCTGTAGCCAGCTATTCAGAAGGCTGAGGCAGGAGGGTCACAAGTTCAAGGCCACCTTGGGCAATTTAATGAGACCCTGTCTCAAAAAAATTAAAATTAAAAAAGGGCTGGGGATGTAGCTTACTGGTAGAACACTTGATTATCATGCACAAGTCCCTGGGTTCAATCCCCAGTACTGCAAAGAAAAAAATAAAAAACCTGAATTAAGAGAAGGTAAAGATTCAAGATTGGAGAATGAAATAAATCTGTTGCTTAATAGTAAAGCTATTCAAAGGGGGATTGCTGTTCAAAGGCCTTCAGTTTATTATTCTTTTCCTCATTAGGTTGTTTCCCAGGGGGTGTTCATTGGGTTTCAGTTGGAAAACAAGACAAATCTGGGCTTCTGATAAAACTACAGAATCTTTGCACACGGTTGGATCAGGATGAGAGTTTCCCCCAGAGGCTTCCACTTAACATTGAAGAGGCAAAAGACCGTCTCCGCATTCTAATGCTGCGCAAACACCCAAGGTACAGGTGGTCAAATGTAGTAGGTGTTTTAGACTTACCTGCTAACATCTTGAAGACATCATGCCTTTTTTTCAGTTGAGGGACTAAGAAAGAGCCATTGCTTTCTTGCTGTTCTCTTTCTTATTTTGTTTTTGGTACCGGGGATTGAAACTGGGTTCGTTAGCCATTGAGACACATCCCAGCCCATTTTATATTTTATTTAGAGAGAGAATCTTGCTAAATTGCTTAAGGCCTCATTAAATTGATGAAGCTGGCTTTGAATTTGCGATCCTCCTGTCTCAGCCTCCTGAGCTGCTGGGATTACAGGCATGCTACACTGCGCTCAATTTTTTCTTATTATTTAAAAAAAAAAAAAAAGTAGCTGGTACTTGGCTTAAAATTGCCACTTTCCTCTTTTGCATCCTATTTAATCACATTATTTCATGTGTCCATTGTAGGTTCTTGAGAAATTTTATATAGATGAGTTAGTGAGTGGTCCTAGAAAGTACTTTGCTAGAAAGTACTTTGAATCAATTGTTTATAATGGATTGATAGAACAGGGTATGGACCCTGCTTTATTTAAAAAAAAAAAAAAAAAGCACAAGGGAGGGACAGTTTTTAAGGGATATTTTATTGGGTTGTCTTAGTTTTTGGAGGTGTTTGTTTTTTCAATAATGAATTTATTCAATAACTGTCATTATAGTTATAGAATGCAAGGCTCAGAATGAATAGTAGTAGCAGGGCAGATGCCTGTAGTGTCTCTTGGCTTCATGGGAGCTAAGCCACACTAGTGGACCCAGATGAAGTACTCATCAGTGTCTGAGGGATACAGGGTACCTTCTTGTGGTCTTGAGGGCTTGACTTGCTCAAAGGCTGCCCAGCCTCTTCTTAGGGCCATAGCAGGCTTAGCTGCTCAGGGAAATCTGTTTGGTTGCTTCTTACGTTAAGTTATGGGTAAGATAGTCTTAATATAGGCAGCAACAGAGCTGCTGACTCCTTTTTGGCTAATGAAAACTGTGAATAGTTCATAGCAGTGCCTAACACACCTGGATCTACTGGAGGAATTCCTGTGTTGCCCTTGGAAACTGACAGGTACCCAGCCTCGGCTGCAGTGCCAACTATACCTCATCTGTTTGGGCCTATCAGAGTGGCCCACCCCCAGGTAATGCATGGAAACTGATGAGCACCCCACACCCATACCTGGGCGTTCCATGCCATAGCTGCTGGTGAATCTGCCCCACTTAATAAAGCTGTATGCCAGCTGGTGGAGTAATCCCATAAATTCCTGCAGCCTAGGATCACTAAGATACCCTCAAGCATCACCTACATTGAGTAAAGCTGAAGCCACATAGACACTGTACTCTATGTCCACATGGAACCAAAGACGACATAGCCTACGCAACTGACACTGTAGGACACACTTTTAGGAGAGTCTTTTACTATGAAAACCATTACAAGCAATTGATCCACCAAATGTATAAATATCAATATATAGACATAAGCATGAAAAAGCAAGGTAACATGCTGCCTCCAAAGGAACACCATAACTCTTTAGTAACAGATCCCAAAGAAAAGGAAATCAACCAATAAGTGAAAATGAATTCAGGATGGTTTTAAGAAAACTTATTGAGATATGAGAATACAGACAGAAAGTTCAGGGAAATTAAGAAGATAGTTCATGATCTGAGTGAGAAATGTAGCAAAGAGCTAGAAAACTTCAAGAACCAAACAAAAGAAATCAAAGAGCTAAAGAACTTGATAAATTTTAAATTCTTAAAATAAAAAAATACAGGTGAAACCTTCAAAAGCAAACTATGTCAAGTAGAAGGAAGAATTTCTGACCTTGAAGGATTTTTTTTTTTTAGATGTTGTCTCACTAGTGCCTAGGCTGGTCTTGAATTCATGGGCACAAGGGATTCTTCCATCTCAGCCTCCTGAGTAGCTAGGACTACAAGCATGTATCCACCATACCTGGATAAAGCAGGTCTTTTGGACTAACTCAATCAAAGAAAAAAAAAATCCCTGTAAGACTTATGGGACACCATTAAGTGACATTAAATGAGCAAACATTCAAACGTTTTTAGTATGGAAGAAGAATAAAGGGGACATAGAAAACCCATTTAATGAAATAATTGGTGAAAACTTGTTAAAACCTGGGAAAGATATAAACATTCAAGTCCAGAAAACTCAAAGGACCCCTAAATACTTCTTTGACCAAAAATGATTTGATCAAAAATGATCCTCTCTGAGGCATATTATAGTTAGACTATCAAAAACAGGGATTTTTTCCCCCAGTGGTACTGAGAATTTGACTCAGGGTCTTGGGCATGCCAGGCAAGTACTCTACCATAGAGCTATACCATCAGCCCCACAAAGAATTCTTAAAGAAGCAAGAGAAAAGTGTGAATTCACATAGAAGGGAATCCTCATTAGACTAACAGCAAACTTCTGAGCTGAAACCTTATAGACCAGGAGAGATTGGAACTATATATTCAGAGTCCTGGGGAAAAGAAAAATCCTGTCAATCAAGAGTACTTTGCCCAGGAAACTTATCCTTCAGAAATTAAGAACAAATAGGGCTGGGGATGTGGCTCAAGCGGTAGCGTGCTCACCTGGCATGCGTGCGGCCCGGGTTTGATCCTCAGCACCACATACAAACAAAGATGTTGTGTCCGCCGAAAACTAAAAAATAATAAATATTAAAAAAAAAAAGAACAAATAAAGTCTTAAGGTAAGCTGAGAAATTCATCAGCATTAGACTGGGCCTACAAGAAATGCTTAAGTGAGTCCTCCACTGTAGTAAAAAGTCTTCCAACAAAAAAAAGCTCAGGACTGGATGGGTTCACTGCTCAATATTAGCACATCTTTAAAGAAATGAGACCAATTATATTCTCAAACTATTTTAAACTATTTTAAACTATTCTCAAACCAGTTCGAAGGGAGGGAACCCTTCCAAATTCCTTCTGAGACTAGAATTACCTGGATACCAAAACTAGACAAGAACATATCCTTAAAGAAAACTACAGACCAGTATCCCTGATGAACATAGATGCAGAATTTCTCAACAAAATCCTAGCAAACAGAATCCCCCAACACATTAAAAAGATTATACACCATAATCAAATGGGATTCATCCTAGGAATGCAAGGATAATTCATACACAAATCAATAAATATAACATATTACATTAACAGAATGAAGGACAAAAACTATATGATCATCTCAATAGATACTTAAAGCATTAAATAAAACAGTATTACCTTCACTATCAAAATCCTCACCAAGGTAAGCATAGAAGGAACCTACATCAACACAATACAGCTTATATGAGACAAGTCCACAGTCAATATATTGAATGGGAAAATCTGAAATTTTTTCCATTAAGAATAGGAACATGACTAGGATGTCTATTTTCACTGCTTTTATTCAACATAGAGTTGGAAATATTAGCCAGAGCAATAAGGTAAGAGAAAGAAAACAAGGGCATTCAAATAGGAAAGACAACATTGTAGAAATCATTCACTTCCTTGGTTCAATTTATTCCTAGATTTATTTTTTATTTTCATTTAATGTGTATTTTTTTAGTTGTAGGTGGACACAATACCTTTGTTTTATTTATTTATACTGAGGATTGAACCCCAGTGCCTCGAATTCGCTAGTTGAGTGCTCTACCGCTATATATATATATAACAACCCCAGCCCTCCTTTATTTTTATGTGATGCTGAGGATCAAACCCAGTGCCTCACACATGTCAGGCAAGTGCTCTACCACTGAGCCAGCCACAGCCTCAGTCTCCTAGGTTTTTTTTTTTTTATAGCTATTGTGAATGGAAATTCTATCTTGATTTCTCTCAGAAATTTTGTATATATTTGGTATGTAAAGTTGCTACTGATGAGCCAATTGTGTCTAATAAAGAAAATCCTAAGGATTCTACCTAAATGCTATTAGACTTGATATATGAATTCAGTAAGGCTTCAGGATACAGAATCAACATACAAAAATCAACTTTTTATTTTATTATTTTTTTCTTTTCTTCAATACTAAGGATTGAACTTATTGGCATCTATCATGGAGCTACATCCCCCGCCCTTTTTGATTTTTTTTTTTTGTTTTGAGACAGGGTCTCACTCCATTGCTCAGGCTGGCCTCAAACTTGTGATTTTCCTGCTTTAGTCTCCTGAGTAGTTGGGATTATAGGTGTGTACCACCACACCTGCCTAATCATTTATAAGTAAATTAAAAAGTTAATATTAAAGTATATTAAAGAATAGTGGTTACCAGAACCTGGGAAGGGTGTGTATGTGTGTGTGTGTGTGTATCAATCAGTCTGGAGGAAGAGGATGGAGAGAAGGTGTTTAAGGAGTACAGAAATACAATTGGATAGGACAATTAACTTCCAATACTCTATAGCATAGTAGAATAAGTATGGTTGATGACAATTCATTTTATCTTTCCAAATACCTAGTAGAGAAGATTTTGAATGTTCCCAACACAAAGAAATGATAAATGAGCTAATGGATATGCTAATTACTCTGATCTGATCATTATACATTATATATACATATTGAATTGTCACACCATACAATTATATTGTGTACAATTATTACATATCAGTTAAAATAAAAAAATCAACATAACCTGAGATTCAGTAAACAATTTGCTTTCTGTGACCTAGCAGCCAGTTTTGAACAAGTTCACTTAACAAGCATTGAGTGTTGTTCCAGGTTCAGGTCAAATGCTCCAAGTGCAATGCTAAGCAAAACATGCCTTGGGAGTGGGATAGTATACTAGATGAGAATTAATAGTGGCTTTGAACTTTTCTTTCTTTCTTTATTTTTTGTGGCATTGTGGATGGAACACAGGCTGTTGCACATGTCAGGCAACCAGTAGTACTGATGGATACCTCGGGCCCCCATGAATGTATTTTGGGAATGCAGTATATTTTCACATATGCTGAGTATGGCAGATTTTCAAATTGGTAGGGATTATAAGGTGAAAGGAGAATTTTTTGGAAAAGTCTGCTGCATGATTCTTATGCAACCCCACTAGAAAGGGAAGCCTCTCTTTTCTTCTTCCTTCCTTCACCTGAATATCCCTCTATCATCTTCTCACCTTGATAGTTATTAATCATCTACTTTCTAGGAGGAAGTAGGACTGAGATTACTAGCTACTCACACTTTAATTGTTTGGTAACTTTTTCCTTGTTCTGCTTCCCTTCTTTGCAAAACTAAAAGTGACCTCTGTTTAGGAAAGCATTTTAGCAACCATTGTCAGATGTATGAGACCATGGAAAGTTGATCATTTTCTTTTTCTCTGAGCATCGTTTGGTTTATGCTTTTGCAGTTTTCCAACTTATGTATGTACCCTGTTTTTTTTTTTTTTTTTTTGTAGTTTATAGTAGTATGCTGTGCAGATAAAAATGCTAGTGTATAATTTTGTCATCAGGTTTTAGTTATATTTTTTTCCCCTATCTGTTCTTGTGAGTTTTAAAAAGGTTTTGGAGCTGAGTGTGATGGTGCACACCTGTAATCCCAACAGTTTGGGAGGCTGAGGTGGGAGGATCATGAGTTCAAAGCCACCCTCAGCAACTTAGGGAGGCCCTAAGCAATTCAGTGAGACCCTTTCTCTAAAATAAAATATAAAAAAGGGATGTGGCTGTGTGGTTGAGCACCCTGGGCTCAATCCCTGGTACCATACAAACAAACAAAGTTTTTGGAGAGATCAGTCATGAATTGGCATAGAAGTTCTTTGTTATTCTAGATAAGCAAATTGATTTCTTTGAAAAAACTCACTAATATGCCAAATGAAAAGTAATATTTTTGCTAGAGCTTTCTATTACCTTGGAACACATGAAATTGTGAGTGTTACGGGTAGAGTATGGTCACATAGTATCATTATTATGTAATTCATTCTGATGTTAACCTATTAGTTCTAGTTTGAGTTTAAACTGTATACTCAAAGACCAAATTGGGAAAATCCTATTACTTGGATAGTTCTTTTTAGGCACTCAGTAAGAGATGACTGACTGAATGAATTGCTAATACTTTTATGGCATACAGTCTTCTTTTTGTAGGACATTGATTTTAGTATGTCCTAATCTGAGGTATGAGGAAAGGGAAGCCTATTTTTTTTCCTTATTTGAATTAGCATATTGAGAAAGGAACATAGCAAAGAATGGAAGAAGAATCATAAACTAGCCATCTATTCTTTTTTTTTTTCTTTTTTAAATCAGTAGGTTTTAACACATTCGTGTGATTTTTTTTTTTTTTTTGGTAAGGAAGCTTAAAATAAGTGTTGTTAGTGATTCATTATGTTTATTTTTAATTTTTTAAAATTTAGGTCTCTGTTGATCTTGGATGACATTTGGGATTCTTGGGTTTTAAAAGCTTTTGACAATCAGTGTCAGATTCTTCTTACAACCAGAGACAAGAGTGTTACAGATTCAGTAATGGGTAAGGATTATTAACTTACTTTTAAATACCTTTATTAATAAAGGTACTAAATTAAAGGTATTCATTATTTAATTCAATTACACTGAAATATATGGCATACCAAATTACTTACTATGTCTTGCAATTTTGTTGCAGGTCCTAAATATGTAGTCCCTGTGGAGAGTGGCCTCGGAAAAGAAAAAGGACTTGAAATTTTATCCCTTTTTGTTAATATGAAAAAAGCAGATTTGCCAGAACAAGCTCATAGTATTATAAAAGAATGCAAAGGTATGGTTATTTATTTTGTGTATGAGGGTGATTATAGGGGTAATGATTCTCCTTCTGTAAATTAAGCTAATGAATGTGACAATTTAGCACATGAATATCCTTAAACTTTTCTAGAATATTTAGTATTTTAAGTCCTTCTCTGGGTACACGATATGGTACTCCTTTAGTCATGAAAATAATATTTAACACTTTCCCACAATATCTTATGGAGACTGCATTAGTGAGAAAAATGAAATGAAGACATGACATTTACTGTCAAAGAGTTATAGTGAAAGTCAAATTTAAGAATTTCTTTGCTTGGGATTTTATAAAAATAAGTATTCAAATTTGATAAGTAAAAGCTGATATTGTCTTCTTAATTTGTACTTTCTTTTAATGAATTTAAACTTTTTGCTTGTTCCGATTCAATTTTTCCTCCTGTACTCTGATAAGAAAGATCACTTCTGACAACAGATGTATAGAGATTTTTCTCCATACACCAAGCAAGCAATCAAGTCTTCAGTATTCACCAGCTAGCTAGCCTCTAATGTAATTTAATCATGACACTGTCTCCCTGGAGACAGACTACCTCCTCTTTAGATGGCAGTTATAAGCTCCAAGATGTTTAACCTGTGTTTCTGACCCAGCGGCTATAAATCGAGGTTCTTGTCACCCCTCCTCAATCTCAGTTAATTTGCTTGAGCAGTTAACAGAACCCAAGGAAACATATTTATTGGTTTGTTACAAGGATACAAAGAGATCCACTGGGCAAGTTTTGAGGAAGGGGTATAGAGCTTCCATGCCATCTCTAGTGTGCTGCCCTTAGGAACCTCCATGTGTTCAGCTACCTGGTATTTGTCCAAACTAGGTCCTTTTGTATTTTTAATGGAAACTCCATTGCATAGGAAGGATTGAAGAATGGACAGCTGTGACTGGACAAAAAGGTGACTGGACAAAAAGAGTATGATCTAATGCTAATAAACTGAGTGGGGAAACCCAGCAAGGCCTATTGGTACAGATTCTTCTTGTTTTCTCTGTGAAGCATTTCTGCCTTCTAGTATAGGGCAGAACCCCTTCTGAAATGGGGGTCTTATGATCTATAAGAGAAAGTAGATCAGAGAATTTCTTTACAGCCAGCTCCAAGACAGAAAGGTAGAGATAGAGTTTCTAAGACCCACCTCAGGAAAGAGAAATTCTAGTTTCTGTGGCCTGTCTTTGGGAGAGAGTTAAGGAGCCAGGGACATTGGATAAAAACCAAAATATGTACATTATGATATCATACTTGTTTATTGGATATTTGCATTTTAAGAAATTATCCATGACTCACTTTTCTTTTTTGGTATATATTAACATTTATTTAAAAATTCCCTATTGAAGCTATTAGCACTTCATCATGTTTTTGCAAATTTTCCCTCCAGTTTTTTATGTGCCTTTTAATTTTATTGTACTGTCTTTTCACATATAGAACTGAAAAATTTCTATAGTCAAATCAAAATCAAGATTATAGCCGGGTGCAGTGGCACACACTTATGATCCCAGCAACTTAAGAGGCTGAGACAGGAGGATTGAGAGTTCAAAGCCAGCCTCAGCAAGAGTGAGGTGCTAAGCAACTCAGTGAGACTCTGTCTCTAAATGAAATACAAATTAGAGCTGGGGATGTGGCTCAGTGGTTGAGTGCCCCTGAGTTCAGTTCCTTGAAATCAAGATTATAATGGTTAACATAGTTTTTGCATTCTTTTTGTGTTGTGGGTGGACAGAATGCCTTTATTTTATTTGTTTATGTGGTGCTAAGGATTGAACCCATTGCCTCTCACATGCAAACACTACACCACTAAGCTACAGCCCTAGTCCTGGTTAACATAGTTTTGAATCTTGTCCTTTTTATACATCTTGAACATTTTCCCATGGTATTAAGTAGCTTTTGAAAAAATTTACCAGTGGCACAATATTGTGATATACCTTTATTTATTCAACTATTTCTCTATTATTGAACATTTTTTACACTATTATAAATTATGATGTGATGAGTATCCTTCAGTGATATCTTCTTTATTTCTGATGATTTTCTTAAAACAAATACCTAGAAGTAAAAGAGGAGTTAGATATATCTTTAAGACTTGGATAACATGCAGCAGGAATTGTTTCTTAAGACTAAGTTGTTCCTTAACTTAGTGGTGATTTTTAAAATAAGATGGTATTATTACAATTATGTTTTTTAGGTTCTCCTCTTGTGGTATCTTTAATTGGTGCACTTTTACGTGATTTTCCCAACCGGTGGGAATACTACCTCAGGCAACTACAGAACAAGCAGTTTAAGAGAATAAGGAAATCTTCATCTTATGATTATGAGGCTCTGGATGAAGCCATGTCTATAAGTGTTGAAATGCTCAGAGAAGACATTAAAGATTATTACACAGATCTTTCTATCCTTCAGAAGGATGTTAAGGTGCCTACAAAGGTAATACATAGACCAGCAATTCTCAGCATTGGATATTTATGATACAGTGCCAAGGACATTTGCAGGACATGTTGCAGAGGATAACGGAAGGATATTATTTACAGGACCAAGGTAGTGGGTGGGGGGTACACAAGTCCTCTACTCTTAGTCTCCATTAAGGACTCTCTGTTGAGTGCATACCAGTCTGGTGAAGCTGGGGAAGCATCCAACATCTTTTTCTCTTTTCTATGTGGAGAATAGTTGGGCTTCTTATGAAATGGAGACATTCTTTTCTAGGGATATGAGATAACAGTTTTTTTTGTGTGTTAACACTTTTTCTTTTTTTCCCAACACTTTTGTTTTATTTATTTATTTATATGTGGTGCTAAGGATCGAACCCAGGGCCTCACACGTGCTAGGCAAGCACTCTACCGCTGAGACCCAGCCCCAGCACCTGTTAACACTTTTCTAAAGTCCTATTTGATATACTTCTACGGCACATTAAATAATTAAAATAATTCACAGGTATTATGTATTCTCTGGGACATGGAAACTGAAGAAGTTGAAGACATATTGCAGGAGTTTGTTAATAAGTCTCTCCTATTCTGTGATCGGAATGGAAAGTCGTTTCGTTATTATTTACATGATCTTCAAATAGATTTTCTTACAGAGAAGAATCGCAGCCAACTTCAGGTACTTGTATCTCTGTAAATTTTCAATTTTAAATATTTTTAATTTGAAATAATTTTAGACTTACAGAAAATTACAGAATAGTACTGAGAATTTCTATGTATTAAATCTTTCACCTATCTTCTCCTAATGTCAACATCTTATATAACCTTAACACTTTTTGTTGGGTACTGGAGATTGAACCTGTTGTGAAGGGCAAAAGGTGCGACTTGTGCAGTCCAGGGGGAGAAATAAAGAATGTCTACACGCTTCTACCCTTTCCAATGTTTTATGCTCTGAAATCACTTAATACAATTTCACTGTATAGGTTCTGAATCAAGGAAATGACAATCCTTAATGCTAGGCACTGCAATAGACATATATCAATTCACAACAAACAATTCTAGATTAATTCTAAGCACTGCAAACACACTTAATTATGACAGGCTCATGACAGACATTCCCTCTACATGCTAAGTTCAAGTGTCAGATCAAAAGTCTCAAGCTTTAAGCTTTAAGTCCAGCAGGTACACACTCACTCAGACACTGGTGATTAGATTAGGAACCAAGGCAGGCTTCTCCTGGGGTGAAGCTGATGGCCAGTTGAGGAGGGGGTCATAGGGAGAAGTTGTGGCTCTGACCAGGGTTAAGTTGTGGCTATAGAGTTTGAGAGCCATGAGGAAAATGCAGAGGATCAGGTCAACAAGGAAAGGTCTAGGTCCTCAGGCTCTCAGCTTGAGGGCATCATTGTCTGCTGGTTGAATGTCTGTTCATTTGCTCTATTATTTATACCAAATTTTGGGGCTTTGGACCCCCCTTTAATCCTTATCAGTTGCCGGCTGGTCTCTCAGTGACATCATTTACCCTGGGGTTAAAACACTGGTCTGGTTGTCTCCACTCTGATCTTTTTGCCTTTCCCTCTTATCTGGCACCTTTCCCTCTTATCAGCAGGACAGTCTTACAGTCCTCACTCAGAGTTTATCAGGGTGGGGAGAAGTGACTTGGTAGTGCCTGAGGGCCATACTGGAGGGTAAGAAGGTTAGTAGAATGAATCAGACATTATTACCCTATGTACATACAACTGGTGGGATTCTACTGCATGTATAACCAGAAGAATGAGAAATTATACTCCATTATGCCCCCAGAAATTACATTCTTAATAGTGTTAGAAGCTGGAGTTACTATGATGCTTAAGTTATTAAATTGCTTCTGTCCTCTGAAATGTGTACTTTTGTTTCAGGATCTACATAAGAAGATGATCACTCAGTTTCAGAGGTATCACCAGCTGCATACTCTTTCCCCAGATCAGGAGGACTGCATGTATTGGTACAACTTTCTGGCTTATCACATGGCTAGTGCCAATATGCACAAAGTAAGATGACATATTTGAAAATTCTTTTATCTTAATTTCCGTTCACTGTATGTGCTTCAAGTATTTTTTCTTCATTTCTTTCTTTCTTTTTTAAAATTGTTTTTAGTTGCAAATGGACACTATTTTTTATTTTATTTATTTATTTTATGTGGTGCTGCAGATCGAACCCAGTACCCCACGCATGCGAGGCAGGCAATCAGTCACTGAGCCACAACCCCAGCCCCTGGTTTATTTATTTCTTAAAATATTGCTTTTTTTTTTTTTTTTTCTTTTTGGTGTATGTGGAACTGAAGATGGCCTCACACCTACTAGGCAAGTTCTTTGCCACTGAACTACATGCCCAGATTGAGATTGGAATTTTTATGTAGTTAAATGTACCACTTTTTTCTTTTTTGTATTTTGCTTCAGTGTCATGTTTATAAATGTGTTTTGTCCTATGATTAGACATTTGTTAGTAAAAATAAGGTCATAGCTTATGTAAGTTTTTTTTTTTTTTTTCTATTTTTTACCTGAACTAAAGTTATCTTACTTAGTAACTATAGTAAATGAACTACTTAAAAATTGATTTTCTTCTTCTTGGTAGTTTTCCTTTGTGGGCAGTAAGGATTTATTTTTAAGCTATAAGAAGCAGTGGAGCTGGATGTGACAGTGCACACCTGTAATCCCGGTTACTCAGGAGACTGAAGCAGGAAGATTGCAAGTTCAAGGCTAGTCTGAGCAATTTAGGGAGAATCTGTCTGAAAATAAAAATGAAAGGGCTGGGGATGTAGTTGAGTGCCCCTCGGGTTTAATCCCTAGTACCAAAAACAAGCAAACAAATACCCCAAAAAACTTTTGAAATATATCAGTGTGGCAGGAATTAGTTTTTTTCTTATTAACCTTTTTTCTGCTCTTAAAGGTAATTATTTATTTTCATTGGGAAATTTTAGGAAAACATCTATAGAAAAGAAAGTTGAAGATTACTGTTAGACTAGGACGCAAGAAAAGACCACTGACTCCAATTAAAATCAAATTAAAGCAAGCTTATTATTTCGACCGGCCGGGCTGCCTCTCCCACCCAAAACCTCGGGAACAAGACAGCAGCCGCCGCTTTCCTGCAGACCAGCTTTATAGCCCAAAAAGTTACACAAAGGGGGGTTACAGATAACAAAACTCTGACGAGCACAACACTAATGGTAGTTTACATTTTTGCTGGCCCTGACATCAGAATTTATGAAGGTCATTAGAGCCTCACAGAGGGTCATTTTCTGGCCAGGGAAGGCCAAGATTTGTGAGGCATCACAAAAGTTTTAGAGAGGGCTGCTATCTGGTCAGAGAGCCAGGTATGGGTGAGTTCAAGGAACGGGCAGGCATTCCAAGCAGGTTCAGAATTTGCAGTAATTTATAGTAAAGCCAAAATTAGCTTTTCATGGCTTTGTGGCGAGATGGCTCCCAATTTTAAGAGAAAATCAGGTTGGGTCTATCAGTTACAACCATTGCTAATAATTCTGTGTATAGTTCATTTTGCTACTTAGATAAACACACTTGTTCTTTAAAACCAAAATGGGAATTGTAATAGAAATATCATAGTATATATTGAATTTTACTTCTTTTTTTTAATATATATATTTTTTTGGTGTAGATAGACACAACACAATGCATTTATTTTTATGTGGTGCTGAAGATCAAACCTGGGTCCTGCCCATGCTAGGGGAGTGCTCTACCACTGAGCGACAATCCCAGCCCCTGAATTTTACTTCTTAATTGTATTTAATAATTGTCTTTTCATCTTCTTTAAATAGAATGACATGATTTTTAAAATATTTATTTTTTAAATATTAATGGACACAATATCTACAGTATCTTTTTATTTTTTTATGTGGTGCTGAGGATCGAACCCAGGGCCTGGCAAGTGCTAGGCGAGCGTTCTACCACTGAGCCACAACCCCAACCCCTAGAACGACATGATTTTTAAAGCTGTATTCTATTTCATTATAGGTACACTATGATTAACCAGGTGGTTGATAGATGGAGTGTTAATTATACTCATCTGGTTGTTGTTTTTGGATACATTTCTGGGTTAAATGTTGTCTCAGGATACAATTTCTGGTTTAACTAGTGCATAGAGTTTAAATTTGAATCTAGATTGCCAAACTGCTGTTAAGAGGGGTGCTTTTATATTTTGAACAATAGATAAACATGTCTATTTCCTTTGATTTTTAGCTAATATTATTCCTTTAGTCTTTTAAAACCTATTTAAAATGGCAATTTCTGTGTTTCACTTTGATCACTGGTGAAATTTTGGCTACTGATATATTTTATTTTGTGAATTTACTTGTTTTTTTCCTTTACTGATTTTTTTTTCTTTTGGGATATTTTTAAATTGTTTTATTATCATTTTCTATGAAGGATAATTTATTAAGCCCTCTTCTGTTGTGTGTGTTGCAAATAAATATTTTCCTGATTTTTTTCCCTAAATTTTGCTTGTATTGCTTTCTACTGTATTGAGGATTTGAATTTTTGGTTGTTTAAGGCACTTGGGTTTTTTGTTTTTGTTTTTTTTTTTTTGTATTTTGCTTTGGTGCATTCATTATAAAGGTTTCTTTCACCCCAAGGTTACAAAATTATTTACCCATATTTTAGCATGGGTTTTTCTATTTTCTCTTTTAATCTTTAGTCTAACTGAAATTTATTTTGATTTTAAGATGGGAGGCTCATTTTATGTTTCTTTTTAACTATTGATGTATTCCTTTTTGCTAGCTTCCTTTTTGTCTTAAATTATAGGTATCAGCTAAGTTTCTCTGAGTGGTGTTAGGATAGTGATGTTAAAATTCTTTGACCTTTTTTTTTGCCCCTTTAAATGCTTTATTCACTCAAATTACTCAATACAATTTCACTCTATAGGTTCTAAATCAAGAAAACCACAATTCTTAATGTTAGGCATTGCAATAGACATAATCAGTTCACAGCAAACAATTCTAGATTAATTCTAAGCACTGCAAACACACTTAATTGTGACGGGCTAATGACAGACATTCATTCAAGTTCAAGAGTATTAAGTCTTAGGCTTTATGTTCAGCAGATGCACACTCACTCAGGCCGCAGTGATCAGGTATGGAACCAAGGCAGGCTTTTCCTGGTGTGGAGTGGATGATTGGTTGAAGAGAGGGTCGTAGGGAGAAGTTGTGGCACTCACCAGGATCCAGGTGAGGCGGTAGAGTTTGAGAGTGGTGAGGATCACGCAGAGGATCAAGAAAGGATGACTAGTGATGGGATGTCAGTCCAGGTCCTCATCAGGCTCTCCAGCTCGAGTGCATCCTTGTTTCGGCTGGCTCTCTTTGACCTTTTTAACAGTACTGCCAACTTCACTTTTTTCCTTTTCTTTTTCTTAAGGAACTTTGTGCTTTAATGTTTTCCCTGGACTGGATTAAAGCCAAAACAGAACTTGTAGGCCCTGCTCATCTGATTCATGAATTTGTGGAATATAGGCATATATTGGATGAAAAGGTATGTATTAGTATGAAAAGTTTGTATTTAAAGTACATCTCATTTTTACATTTAATTCTAGGTTTAATGGTGGGGATGAGCAGAATAGAATAGTTGAAAATAGCTATTTTCCTTGCTTTGACCTTTTATCACTCTAAGTAATTTGCTTCCTTGCCTACTGGGAATGTAGGTAGGATTAAAATTTGAAAGTTGGGAAAGTAAAGTTTTCAGTATTAAAAAAAAATGTTAAGAAATGTGTCTGATAATGAGATTTTTTACTCTGTATTTAAAGGCAGAAGAGAATCACTATGTATTTGTTACCTAATGGTTGGCTGTTAAATTTTAGTTCATATAGAGAATATTTCATTTAAGTCTTTAAAATGACAAGATCAGAGAAGCAGAAAAATGTCAGATCTTGACTCTGGTTATGTTTCTAAGAGATTTCAGTTTATTCATAGGATTGTGCAGTCTGTGAGAATTTTCAAGAGTTTTTATCTTTAAATGGACACCTTCTTGGACGACAGCCATTTCCTAATATTGTACAACTGGGTCTCTGTGAACCAGAAACTTCAGAAGTTTATCAGCAAGCAAAGCTGCAGGCCAAGCAGGAGGTCGATAACGGGATGCTTTACCTGGAGTGGATGTAAGTAGGTTAGGGGAGAAACCCCAAAGGGTGTGGAGTGCTAACTATATCATTATTTTTCTGGTAGTGAATAAGTTCACTCCAGGAAGATGTAACTACTTTGGAAAGAACTGGAACTTTTAATAAGTATTCTTACTTAGTGAAAAGTTCCAGAGACATAAGAATAGGAGAAAATGATTATGAAGTACATAGAAATAGCTGCCCTTAAGGCATTTTGACAGGCCATCCTAACTATTAATACCTGATGCTTGACTTATCATAATCTAGTACAGTGATGAAGAGCATGGGCTCTGGAGCCACAGACTTGGGTTTGAGTCTTGGTGCGGAAATCTAGTAGTTTGTGATTTCAAACAAGTTACAGGTTATTTTCTCATATGCAAAATGGAGAGAACAATTCTTTGAGGTAAATGTTGTTTATTGTGAAAATTTAAATGAGATAATGGCTGTAAAGAAATTTGCACTTTGCCTCAAACACATAGCTCTTATTAAATGTCTACTGGATCCTGACTCTTCTACCTCTTAATCCATTGTGTCTCATTGTCATATTAATAGGACATTGGTAAAAACTTAAATTGAGCAATTTTATAGATGTATTACAAAACTCTATAGGCTTTTATAGGTGTCTAATATATATGATGATGGGACATGATGGTTTAAAGAAGTCAATAACTTTTCATTTTATTTATTTAAACTTCCATCTATTTAATGTCTGTTATATTGTCTTCAGAATAACCTTGTAAGGTAAATATTCATTGTCCTGTTTGACAGATGAAAAAATTGAGGTACAGAGAGGTGAGACTTGATTAAGCTTTGTGGCATGCTGAGTGGGACGTAAGTCCTGGTCTGTCTAGCTTTATTTTCCATTCTCTTTCCATGTGCCATGCTTCTCTTACAGCTGGATATAATAAACATGAGTGGTTTTCTCTTCACATGTATAATTTATGTCTAAATTGAACTCCAGGTTGGTATCTGTGATTTTTATGGCCCTTACCTTCTTCAAATAAATTATAGCTGATTCCCTTGATTCAGGGTAATTTAGCAAACATATGACTTTCTCTGCTGTGCTAAGTACTCTTACTAAGGGTCCAGGCTTTCTCTAGTGAGTTCATAATCTAATAGTGAAGAAAGAAGCTTATTACAATATAATATGATAAATGCAGCAACAGAAGTATGTATTAAAATTGGGATAGAATTGATGAGTAATTAACTTGGATGAGAGAGTTAAAAAAATTTTTTTAGTTAAAATTTAATTTTAAATTTAAATTTTGGTTGGTTTTTAAACTTGTATGCCTCCTGGTTAAAGTAAAAAAATTATAAATCTGTAAAACGAGAAGTCAAAGACTTCTTTTCCTCTCCTACCTTCCCACTTCCTAGAATTAATCATTCTTTAACATTTTCTTCACAAGAGGAGGTTTCACTTCCATCAAGAAGAAGTGAAAGAAGGGAAGCAGCCCTCCTAACTTACTGAAGCTACATCAGATCTGTTAGTATTCTAAAATACTCCTTTGTCACCCTTTATCGAGATGATATGCTTACTTGTTTTTCTCCCATACTAGTCCATATATTTTATATTGTAGAATAGTTAGGAGGTTAAAATCCAAACTCTGAAAAGAAGGAAGATCAATAGAGTAGAGGGAGGGAAGAGAAGAGGGAGAAGGGAAGCACTGGAAACTAAAATGGAGCACACCGTTATATGCATTTATGAATATGCCAGAATGAACCCTACTGTTATGCATTACTATAATGCACTAATAAAATCTTAAAAAAACTGGTTCTAGACTGCCTGGGTTTGAATTGCAGCTCTGGTAGTTATTAGTTGTATGTAATTAGGGGAAAGTTATTCAATTTCTCTTGCCTAAGAGTGCCATTTCATAGCATTTTGTGATAGAGGTTGTCATTAAGAATAGCAGTTAGCATTTTGCTTGGTTCACATAGTTGATGTTCAGTAGAGATTTGTATAAGATTGAATAAATTCCTGTTTGGTTAATGGCTAAAATGGAATCTTAATACTTTGTCTTATCAAACTGGCAGAGGTTTAGTTCTTGATCCTGTGGGAATTGTTGAATTTTTTTTTTTTTTTTTTTTGCTATTTCCTGCTATTTTTTTTTCCCATTGCACCAGCTGCATTTCAACCTGTGACATTCTGTCATATTTATTCATAGATTTATTTTATACCTGGGTTTAAACCGGCCATCATCAAAGAATGCTTAATTTCAGTACTAGAAACCTGTTTGTTTATTGTAGAAGGTGTGGATTATTCTAAACTTATATTTAATTGAGTTTTAATTTTCAAAGCAATCATTTGTTATTTATCTAATATTTTTGGTCCTTTACTATATGCCTGTCATTGTAGAGGTCACACTCTAAGCTTTGGGGAATTGAGTAGACAGATCAAAGGGAAATACCATATTCTTAATCTAATTCTCATAACTTTTCAAATAACTTATCTTTTCCAGGTTCTCATCACTCTAGTTCTTATACTTGTTTTATCACTTCTAGTAAAATATAATACATAGTTTCTATGCAGGATCATAGACGGATTTACTTCTGTGTTCTTTTATCATTTGTTCTATATTGTACACGGTTCATTTTTTTGAAGAATGATAACAGTGGTATTTTGTGTCAGTTGTAGTTTATAGTGAATATTATTATTTCCTTTACATACAAGGAAATGGATCTTACGTTGAGTTATTTGTCTAATTTCACACCCTATAAAGTAAGGTTGCCCTCTGGGTTTAACTCCTAATCTTTGACTCCAAATAAGCACAGTGCTTTTTAACATATTTACCTATATCCAAAGTGACTGGTGTGTATATAGATGAAATTCGGACACTACTCTAGTGCTTTCTGCTGCTTTAAGTACATATTCCATTCCATCATCCTTTACCTTGTGAGCAACAATATAATATCTATACTAATGGAATAGTTGGTATTCCTTAGATTAAGATACAAAGAAAATGACATTGCTGTGTCTTTTTTCTTCTGTGTCTGAGTAATTGTAGTTAGAAAAAATCATCACCATAATGGTGGGTGTAGTGTCATGCTTTAGTTAGGAAATGAACTTCATGTTGTAATCCTTTCTTGAATTTTAAGAGATGGAGGTTTTTCAAAAGTATGCTTACATAATGTTTTAGCTGTGTGTTATAATTAATAGTATATAAAAAAAAATAGAAAAAGACATTTGATAAACTAGATCTCCTTCAACTCAGTGACATTTGTGACACATGGCACTTTGCTTGATAGAGAGTAACATTTCTCTTAAAATATTACTTTTCTTGAATTATGTCTTTTCTTTAGGTGAACTGTGTTTTTATTTGCAGTTAATAATTTAAGAATTTTATGTTTTACGAAATGTAACCATGTTACGAGATAGTTTCTATTATAAAAGAAATAGGCCTTTTACTCTCACTTACTAGATTTCTGTTCATTTTTCCTTGTATTTAGAAACAAAAAAACCATCAAGAATCTCTCCCGCTTAGTTGTCCGCCCCCATACAGATGCTGTTTACCATGCATGCTTTTCTGAGGATGGTCAGAGAATAGCTTCTTGTGGAGCTGATAAAACCTTACAGGTAAAACAATCTCTTTGAGACAAGTTGAAAAAGGCATATACCCAATCCTATGCAGAGTATAATATGTTTAATTGCCAAAATTAAAGAAAATTAAAACTTAGAAGTAGTGGAGAATCCCAGTCTCTTGATTGGGATTGCAAAGGCTAGGCATGTGCTCTACCACAGAGCTTCATTCTCAGCCCTCTTTATTTTGAGACAAGGTCTCAGTTGCCCAGGCTGGCCAGAACTTGTGATCTTCCTGCCTTAGCCTTCCGAGTAGCAGGGATCATGGGCTCATGCCGTCACCATGCCTAGCTCTCTTGAATATTTTATGAAAGTTTTCTCTAGAGATTTTAAAGATATAGTTATGTGTTTTCATAATTCTAAATTTGCCACATGACAAAGAAGAATCTTCTTCCCTGTCAATTATCTGCCACCCATTTGCTGCCTGTGGGTAATGATGAAATAATAATTGTTAAAAGATATAAGGACTTAATAGTGTAGTGGATAGGACTCTGATGAAAAAATAGTGATTCAATAACTATTTTATCAAAGGCTTAGAAATAGGTTTCTGGATGTAAATAGTAATTGAACTAAATTATTTCTGTTAGCATTTGTGCTCTACCTGTTAATTTTGAAGGAAATAGGGTCAAATTAATTAAACTTTTTATAATAATTTTGGCCTTTCTGAAGTAAGGACTACATGCCTTCTTTCTATAGTACCTGATTACTAATTTTGGTTTCTGAGCTCCAGAAAGAAAACATATTGCATTAAATATTTTGTGTTTGATTGTTAGGAATTTGCCAAAATGGTCACAAGAGTTGAAGGTATATCCAGCCATTTCTTTTATTGGTATTAATCAACATGTAACAATGGATAGTTCTCTGTTTATGTGAAGGCTTACAAATTCTGACAGAAATTCTGATTTTTTGAATGATTTTGCTAAGGTTCATTTCTGTTTTATAAATAACAGTGATTAAGATCTTTTAAAGAAAGATTTTTATTATGTGATGAGTTCAGTGATTTATAGTAAAGATTTTATTGTTGCTTGTATAGGTGTTCAAAGCTGAAACAGGAGAGAAACTTCTAGAAATCAAAGCTCATGAGGATGAAGTGCTTTGTTGTGCATTCTCTACAGATGACAGATTTATAGCAACCTGCTCAGTGGATAAAAAAGTGAAGGTAGGAAACTATTTTCCTCTTGAATTGTAATCATTACAGAATTAATTTTTTCTGTAAAAGACTAACTAAAGGACTCATGCCTGTTGATCACTAACTTGAATCCTTATAAATTAACATTGTATGAAAATTCTTTATTTTTAAACATGAGCACAAATGCTTATGTTGATCAGCCTGAGGTATGTATCAGGCAGTGGGGAAAAGTAATTACAGATTAATGAATTTGCCTGCTATTAATAGACAGGTCTATGGGTTAAATGTCGGTTGAAATCTTCAAGTACATTGTGATTTAAAGTGTTATTGCACAAAATGATTGTCTGAGATCAGATTCCTGTCATAAAAGACATAATTTGTTAAATGCAACCCATTTTTTTTTTTTTTTTAAACGTGTATGAACTTAGGTATTCAGTGCAAAACCAGGTAGGTGGACAAACTTAACAGGTTGCTGGTCTAAAAACAAGAAAAAAAAGAGGATGATTTTTTATCTTGTTAATTATTCTTTTTTGTTTCTTGTCCCTAAATTTGGCTTTTAGCTAGAGTATTTATTTAATACAGAATTTAAGAGAAACTGAAGACTTAGGGGATGTTTTATCACTAAAATTTGGAAGAGAGACCTCACTTCAGACTTTTTTCAAAAGTGTTTTGGAATACGAATCTGGCTAGGTTGGAAGGACAAGAGAGTTGGCGTGGGAGTTTTCCTGGAGTTTTCACTGATATGAAGAGGTTGTCGAATGTCCTGATTAAAATTGAGGGACTGGGAATGTGGCTCAGTGGTAGAGTGCTCACCTGACATGCATGAGGCACTGGGTTCGATCCTCAGCACCACATAAAAATAAAATAAAGAGAAGTAAATGAAGGTAAAATAAGACTTTAAAAAAAAAAAATTGAGACCTTGGAAAAACCTGCTTTTTTTTTTTTTTTGGTACTGGGAATTGAACTCAAGGGTGCTTAACCACTGAGCCACGCACGTTTCCAGCCCTTTTTTATATTTTACTTAGAGACAGGGTCTCACTGAGTCACAAGTGCCTTGTTAAGTTGCTGAGGACAACTTTGAACTCATGCTCCTACTACCTCAGCTTCCCTAGTTGCTGGAATTATGGGCATGTGCCACCATGCCCTGTTAAAACCTGCTTCTTGATAGACTAGAATTGGTGGCTTTACAACCAGGAGTTAATTCACTCTTGAAACCTCCACTCTGAGTCAGACTTGGCCGCACTGAGCAGTTCCAAAGTCAGAACTATGTCGAGTAAAGGGAAATAATAAATAAACAAGAGGCAGGAATATTCTTTAAAGAGCTTCAAAATAAGATAAATTCTTTGGACCTCTGGGGATTCTAATAAATGCTTTGAGGGAATGCTATGGGAGGGAACATGAGTATCTCTAAAAAGTCAATGTCCTAGTGAAGATTTATTAGGACATTTATTTCTTTCGTTTGCTTAGTTGTCTTACACAGTAAGTAGAATGATGTTTACTCTTTACTGTGGGACTTACTACACTCTTCCTTATATCACCTTATCAGTTTTTCATTACAACTTGCAAAGTAAGTATTGATCTGACTTTACAGAGGAGAAAATAGTTTGAAATGAAGTTACTTGCCCAAGTTTGCATTAAGTAATAATAACAGGATTGATAGCTAGGTTTCTCTCAGACTCTCAATCAGACTCTCAAGCTGTTATTTATTTACTGAGGAATCTTTTTTTTTTTTTTGGTGATGCTGAGGGCTTTGTGCCTGTCTTTACTATTGATGTGGTTGGTACCTTGGAGTCGATACTTAGCATGTCCATGATCTGATTTGATATGTTGAATTGTGTAAAACATGTTTATGTATCCCCATTTGCTAAGTAGGGAGCTGAGATTCAGGTAAGGTAAGGGCTCAGTGGGCTACACAGAACCAATCTTGAACTTCACACGTCTGATCTGAAGTCTCTTATGCTATCCTCTTTATAGCACTTCTGTAGTGCTGTCATTCATATGAATGTGGGGAATCCTCTATTTTCATAAGATTCCATTTATGCTATAGAAAGATATGTGTAGTCTTATAAGTAAAAAAAAAAAGCAAATATAAAAACCATCGAGACAGATATTGCCATGTTTTAGAGAAAGGGTAGTATTCATTAGTGTCATTCTGATGGGAAAATCTGTTATGACAAGCATCTGGAAAGTGCCTCATTTTGTTTTTTTTATGTTATCCTTTGAAAATAAAGAATATCTGTAAATTTTAATTTTTAAATTCTCTTTAGATTTGGAATTCTGTGACTGGGGAACTAGTCCACACCTATGATGAGCACTCAGAGCAAGTCAATTGTTGCCATTTTACCAAGAAGAGTCATCTCTTAGCCACTGGGTCAAGTGATTTTTTCCTCAAAGTAAGTATGGCTATTGAGAATTATGTAGATAAATTTTATAGATACATTACAAAGGCTTTTATTTTCTCATGTATTATATTATTGGGGCTTTTATTATTGCAGTGATTAAAAAAAAGAAAGGTTGACGATGTAGCTCAGTGGTAGGGCACTTCCCAAGCATGTGTGAGGCCCTGGGTTAAATCCCAAATACTGCAAAAAAAAAAAAAAAAAGTAAAATATAGATATATATGTATATATATTTCATATAGTTGTAACTCACTATTACTCAGAAAACTTTTGCTATATGGGAATAAATTACTCTCTAAAATGAAAATAAATCTATTAAAATATGACCTATTTTTGGTGTTTATTTTTAATTTCTTGTAGGTTGAGGAAATTTACCTCATTTAAATATAGATAGAAGTCTCTACCATATGTAAGGGGATTTAATTAAGGAAAAGTTTAATTTAAGACATGACATGCCATACCTGCGTTACCATTCAGACTACCAGAAAGCATGTTCTGTGATTGCAAGCTGAGAAGCCATTGAAAATTTGTAAAACTAAGGCTGTCTCCATGTAACTTGTCTTACATGAAGAATTGGGTTTATCAGAACTAGGATTAAGGAGCCACGGAAGGAGGTGAACATGAGGAACAGGAATCTCACTTACTGATCATTTTCAAAGAATTTCTTTCAAGATTAACTTTTGGGATAAATTATTTCTTTCCCTGGGTTTAAATTAGTTGGTACAAATCACCAGAGGTGAATGTAGCCTTTTTCATATATATTTAAAAATATTTTTCAAACAAGGAGAAAATATAATAAGGAGTCTCTATGGTATTCATCATGTAGCTACAATTATAAACAAAATGAGGTTTTGCCAATCTTATTTTATATATGCCCTCTACCCTTCTTTTTGGCTAGAGCATTTTATAGCAAATCCTGGATATGTGATTTCCCCCAAAATATTTCAGCATGAGCCTTGGAGGTGTAAACACTAGTGCTATGCCATTATTAAACCTACTATAATAAACAGTAGTTTTGTAATGTACCTGATCTGTGTTCACTTTCCCCAGTAGTCTCAAACATGTCTTTCTACCTGTGGCTTGTTGGAATCAGACATGGAACAAACTTGGCACTTGACATTTATTTTGTCTGTTAGGCTTCTTTTATTCTAAAAAACCTCCCTTTCCCCTTTTCCCCTTTCTTGTGCTATTGGTTTGATAGAGGAATTGAGTTATTTGTCTTGTGGAATATATCACATTCTGGATTTGGTTGATTGCTTACTGGAGTTGTTATTTGATTTCTTTTTCTAAACCCTCTATTTACTGTATTATACTTAATACAGGTGCTTTGAATTTTTTGAATAATTTTTTAGAATATTCATAACTTTTAGCCTATTGACTAGTTTCAAGGTTTGGGAGATCTTAGAAATTATCATTTTTTATAGCCTAGTATTTAAAAAATATGGGGGCAGTTATCTTAATATATTGTATCTTTTTATAGCCAAAGTAACTTTGATTCTAAACCATTCATTTTAAATAAGCAGTAAGTGTTTAATTATTTAAAGCTCAGACTAAAAGCCCAGGTCAGCTTTCAACTTCCTTAGTAGATTTAGATGTCAATCGAAAGGCTGCCTTGTTGTTTATCACAAGTTTAACTTTGACACCTTTGTGTTACTACGAATTGAGCATCATTCTTAAACATACTAAAGTAGAAGAATAGGAAGAAATTCATATGATTTCTGACTTTTACCCCATTCAGTACTAGTTTTTAAAATTTATCTTTTATCCTTCTCAAATAGCTTTGGGATTTGAATGAAAAAGAATGTCGAAATACCATGTTTGGCCATACAAATTCAGTCAATCACTGTAGATTTTCACCAGATGATGAGCTTTTGGCCAGTTGTTCAGCTGATGGAACATTAAAGGTAAGCTTTTGTACATTATTAAAATGGGTAGTCAGGTTTTCATCACTGTAATAGAATACCCACAAAAAACAACTTATAATGAGGAAAGGTTTATTTTGGATCACGGTTTCTGAGGTTTCAGTCTGTGGTTGCTTGTCTTTGTTTGGACCTGTAGTGAGGTAGTATATAATGGCAGGGAGCCTGTAGGGGAGCAAAGTGGAGGTTCTTAATGTCCCCTTTAAGGGTACACTCCCAATACCTTCTTTCCACTAGGCCCCACCTCTTACAGGTTCTATCACTTCTAACATCACCAGTGGCTGGGGACTAAGCCTTCAACTTGTGAGCTTTTGGGGGACGTTTAAGATTCAAACTATAGCTCTGTTTTTCATATTTCTACAGAAAGAGCTTCTTCCTTCAACTTCCAGGAACATATTTAATATAACTAATTATTTGTCATAATAATTATTTATGAATGATTTCCTGTGTTTAAAATACATGTAATTGGAATTCTTAAATTTTAAGCATGTATCCTTTTTTGGGGGGCGGGTACCAGAGATTGAACTCAGGGGCACTCAACCACTGAATCACACCCCCAGCCCTATTTTGTATTTTATTTAGAGACAGGGACTCACTGAGTTGTTTAGTGTCTCACTTTCACTGAGGCTGGCTTTGAACTCGCAGTCCTCCTGCCTCAGCCTCCTGAGCCACTGGGATTATAGGTGTGCGCCAGCAAACCTGGCTAAGCATTATATCCCTAAAAAACATATTTATCCACTATTTTGAGATCTATAGGGTCAGGTTTATAAAGGGCTGCTTTTATTTGTCACTTATTTCTTCTACTTTTTGTGTTACCATTTTCCTGTTTTTGAGCAGTCATATAGGGGAATAACACAAGAGTTAGGGAAAACATCTCATTTAACCTCCTGAATTTTATATTCCTAAAAACCCCAAGTTTTTCTTCTTTAAATCATTTCCTTCTAAAATAAGACCCTAATTTCAGTATTTTATTTCTGTCTCCATTGTCACTTTGTCTCCTGATTATTGACTCTCCTTTCTCTGGTCTTAAATGAAGACCATTTTTGACCATTTTCGTGTCTATTTTCCTTTCTGTTCTGTAGTGTTGGCTCTCGTTCAGGCATTGTCCTCACCTGTCAGATTTTGGTTTCTACAATTTGTTATTTACAAATACCGAATATCTATTCCTTCTTTTGGCATAATCCATGTTGTAGGAAGTTTTTCAGAATACCCTTGGATGTGTTAAGGCAGCCATCTTCCAAGATATTCTTTCCATCATGTCAGTCTATTATTTCTTGATTTTTACTATGTGAGTGGCTTTAGAAGAAGGCATTTTATTTCTGAGTCCAAGTTTCTCTACCATCTTATCTCCATTGCTAATTCTAAGATTTTTTTTTAAAGAGAGAGAGAGAGAGAGAGAGAATTTTTAATATTTATTTTTTAGTTTTCGGCGGACACAACATCTTTGTTTGTATGTGGTGCTGAGGATCGAACCCGGGCCGCATGCATGCCCGGCGAGCGCGCTACCACTTGAGCCACATCCCCAGCCCCAATTCTAAGATTTGTGATGATATCATGATCTAAGCTGCTTTAACTGTCTTTTTTTTTTTTTTTCCCCAAAGATTGAACCCAGGAGCAATTAACCACTGGACCATATCTCCAGCCCTTTTTATTTTTTTATTTTGAGGCAGGGCCTCTATGAAGTTGGTGGGGCTGGCTTTGAATTTGCGATCTTCCTTCTTTAGCCTCCCAAGCCACCGGGATTAAGGGCATGTGCCACCATGCCTGGCTTTACTTCACTGTAGTGCCTATTCCAGTCCTTTCCTGCTGTTTGTAAGCCCCCAACCTTTTGATTCTATGGTAATTACCTTACCTCATTATAATTCAGAGGGTTAAAACCATCTACCCAGAGCTCCCCTCAGTGAGCCTCCTCAAACACTGCTGTAAAAGCTCCCTGCTCTCTCCTTTTTTTTTTTTCTTACAAGAAGTCCTCTGCTTGCCCAAAAGTCTACTACTTATTCCTGCTGTTTCTTTTTCTCCCTCCTTTATATGGTACTTTGCTTAATTGTTATTTCCTCTCTCTGTTGCTTTTTTCGGTTTTATGCTTTTTTGGGGATACTTTCCTACCATCTATAAATGTTCTTGGCCCTTCCTGGCCCTATAAAACAAAAAAATTGAAAAACCTTGGATTTTTTTTTCTTGAGTGTATTTTTCTTTCAAATAGTCATTCTGTTTTTCTCTTTTTCTGTGACTAAACTTTGTTAGTTGGCTTTCTGTTACTGTAGCAAATAACTGAGATAAGTTATAAAGAGAAAAATGTTTTTTGGGGCTCATGGTTTCAGAGATTCTAGTCCCTGATAATTGGCCCTGTTGTTCTTTGGACCTGGGGGAGGCAGCATACCTTGACAGGGGGTACAGGGCAGAGCAGAACCACTCACCCCTAGGCCTGGAACAAAACAGAGAGGAGCCATGATTCTTTTTGAGGGTTTGCTCCCAATGACCTAACCTTGCACTCCCACCTCCTGAAGGCTCCATGACCTCTCAGTTGTGCCACAGGCTGGGGACCAAGTTTTAATGTGGCCCTTTGGGGGACGTTCCAGATCCGTCCATCATCTGTGCTTTTCTCTGTTTCCTGACAACCCACTCACTGCTCAAGCCTTTTTTAACCTGCTTCTCTCTGACCTATATGCTTTTGAAGAATGTCAAAATCAGTTTTAAGTTTCCATTTTTTGTTGTAAAGTCTGATACATTCTGGATTAATGTGAAATTTTGCATTTTTATTTATCTGATCCTTATTCTTGTTGTATTTAAACCTCCATTGATAACCTAGTTAAGCGTTCTTCATTTGAATATAACAGTGTTTATTTTTTTCTTCTTCTTAACCTCTCCTATAAGTCTTTTCCATGCCCATGCTCATGCCCATGCCCATGCCTATGATCATTTAATGATATTTACTGTGTACCAGGTACTGTGCTAGTAGGCATTTGGATTTTAAATACTTAAAAAAAAAAAAAAAAAAGCACATTCCCTGGCCTTAAGTTATTCATGTTGGGGAGAAAGGTAAGTGATAGAGGAACATGAAATGCTAAAATTATATTGTTGTTTTGTTTTTAATGAGATAGCGCGTCACTATGTTGACCGAGTTGGCTTTGAATTCCTGGGCTCAAGTGATCCTACTGTCTCAGCCTCCCAAGTAGCTGGGACTACAAAGCATGTACCACCTGCCCAGCTATGTAGAGGATGTTCTAAAGAACAGATGAGGACTGTGTTGGTAAAGGGTTCAGGTACCTAAGGCTATAGCCAGATTGAACTTGTTCTCCCTTTTTGTTACCTTTGCTTTCCCATTTTGTACTTTAATGTATGCTGACCCCTGAGCTGAAGGCCTAGAGTATTCCCTCTGTCTTTTTGATGTTGAAATTCTTTTATAAGGTGGCATAAGGTAGGCTAATCTTTAGGTGGTAGAGTGAGTTGGTCACCTGCATACTGTGTTCCCTAAACCCACGGCTTGAATGCCGTGTTCCCACAGTGCTTTCTTTTCCTCTCAAATGATATATCGTATGTATCCAGGGTTAGAGTTACTTATGTGCTCATCTTAGCCCTCTTGCTGACCTATAAACTCTTTGAGGGTAGTATCTATATCTGATTCATTTATATAATATCAAATATAATTTCAAAGTGACCAGCATAATATTTTAATAAATGCATTAAAAATCATAAGCCCTTGCTGTGTTCCTTCAGATCAAACTAAGACTTCTTCAAACTCATAAAGAAATTTTAAAGAGGCCTCAGTTTTCAGGGGCAGGTTTTGGTTCCTGTGTTCATGTGTGAGTATCACTAGCAGCAGGGGACAGACATTGCTGCAGTCTTGGGGACACCTGCCTGTGTCTGTGGTGGCTTTCCTACGGTGCTGTTAAGCCAGTACTGCTGGCTGGTTCACACTGATACAGTGACATGTAGTAAGCAGAGGTTCTGCAAAATGATTTTAGATAACAGCATTTCAAGGTCAAAGTCTTCTAAAGCTTTTACCATTTGAGAGGATGAGAACTATAAATTATTTTCTGCCTCAAATGGCTCTGTAATTTTCTAAGCTTTTTGTAGTGTATCAAGTTGATAAGTGTGTGTTTTTTGGACTGTGATGATAAACTATTTCAAAAGGGAGTTTTATTTAAAAAATGTCTGAAAACATACAAGGGCACAGGGTAAACAGGAACCTTGGACAGAGTGCCATGGTGTCTTCAAAATGAAATGGTGACGTTAGTTTATATGATCCCCTAACATGTAGGATTTCACCACATTGGATAGGACTGTAGTCAGGTCCTTCTAAAAGCAGTTGTAGTTTAAGCAGGAGTAAAGAATTGGATTATGCTAGTTTTCCTTTTCTTTTTTCTATATCAAAATTCTTTTTTTTTAAATTTTTATTTATTTATTTTATGGTAGAATGCATTTTGACAGATTGAACACAAATGGAGCACAACTTCTCATTCCACTGGCTGTACATGGTGCAGAGTCACTCCAGTAGTGTAATCATTCATGTATATAGGGTAATAATGTCTGTCTCATTCTACTGTCCTTCCCATCTGCACAATCCTACCCCTCCCCTCACTCCCCTCTACACAAACCAAAGTTCCTTCATTCTTCTCTGTCCACCCGCCCCACTATGGATCAACATCTGCTTATCAGAGAAAACATTCGGCTTTGGTTTTTTGGGATTGGCTTATTTCACTTAGCATGATATTCTCTAGTTTCATCCATTTACCCTCAAATGCCATAATTTCATTCTTCTTTAAGGCTGAGTAATATTTCATGTGTATATGTACCACATTTTCTTTATCCATTCATCTGTTGAATGGCATCTAGGTTAGTTCCATAGTTTAGTCACTCTGAATTGAGCTGCTATAAACATTGATGTGGTTGCGTCACTGTAGTATACTGATTTTAAGTCCTTTGGGTATTGCTGATGAGTGGGATAACTGGGTTAAATGGTGGGTCCATTCCAAGTTTTCTGAGGTATCTCCATACTACTTTTCATAGTGGTTGCACCAATTTGCAGTCCTACCAGCAATGTATGAGTGTACCTTTTCCCCCACATCCTTGCCAACACTTATTATTGCTTATATTCTTGATAATTGCCATTCTAACTGGAGTGAGATGAAATCTTAGAGTAGTTTTGATTTGCATTTCTGTAATTGCTAGAGATGATGAACATTTTTTCATATATTTGTTGATCGATTGTATATCTTCTTCTGAGAAGTGTCTGCTCAGCTCCTTAGCCCATTTATTGATTGGGTTATTTGGTTTTTTTGGTGTTAAGTTTTTTGAGTTCTTAATATATCCTGGAGGTTAGTGCTCTGTCTGAGGTGTGTGTGGTAAAAATTTTCTCCAATTCTGTAGGCTCTCTCTTCACATTATTGATTGTTTCCTTTGCTAAGAAGAAGCTTTTTAGTTGAATCCATCCCATTTATTGATTCTTCATTTTGCTTATTGCACTTTAGGAGTCTTGTTCAGGAAGTCAGGACCTAAGCCAACATGGTGAAGATTTGGGTCTACATTTTCTTTTTTTAGTCACAGGGTCTCTGTGTCTAAGTCTTTGATCCACTTTGAGTTGATTTTTATGCATGGTGAGAGAGATTTAATTTCATTTTGCTACATATGGATTTCTAGCTTTTCTAGCACCATTTGTTGAAGTGGCTATCTTTTTTCCAATGTGTATTTTTGGCGTCTTTGTATAGTATAAGATAACCGTATTTATGTGGGTTTGTCTCTGTGTCTTCTATTTTGTACCATTGGTTTACATGTCTGTTTTGGTACCAATACCATGCTGTTTTTGTTATTATTGCTCTGTAGTACAGTTTAAGGTCTGGTATTGTGATGCCTCCTGCTTTACTCTTCCTACTAAGGACTACCTTGGCTATTCTGGGTCTCTTATTTTTTCAAATGAATTTCATGATTGCTTTTTCTAGTTCTCTGAAGACTGTCATTGGAATTTTAATAGGAATTGCATTAAATCTGTATAACAGTTTTGGTAGTATGGCCATTTTGACTATATTATTTCTGCCTATCCAAGAGCATGAGAGATGTTTCCATCTTCTGAGGTCTTCTTTAATTTCTTTCTTTAGTGTTCTATAGTTTTCATTGTAGAGGTCTTTCACCTCTTTTTTTAGATTGATTACCAAGTATTTTACTTTTTTTGAGGCTATTGGGAATGGAGTGATTTTCCTAATTTTTCTTGCTGTGGATTCATTGCTTATTTATATAAATGCATTTGATTTATGGGTATTGATTTTATATCCTGCTACTTTGCTGAATTAATTTATTAGTTCTAGAAGTTTTCTGGTGGAATTTTTTGGATCTTCTAAATGTAGAGGCATGTCATCAGCAAATAATGATAGTTTGAATTCTTCTTTTCCTATGCATATCCCTTTAATTTCTTTTGTCTATCTGATTGCTCTAGCTAGTCCTTGACTTTCTTAAATCTACCAGTGGTTTCTTTGTCTTTCCTATGAATAGGGAAACAGTATGGTTTCTCATTATATTCTGGCTGATGTGACTGAAGCTCAAGCATTTATTTTCTCTTTAGTATTAGAGAAGGGTAAATATTTTAGTCCCCAGTGTCTGTTTTGCTTTAGTTAGTTTATCCAAGGTTATTGCAAGTGGCAAGATTTTGGTTTTGGCCGTATTTCTTATTATATAGAATGCTTCTCTGAACTCAAGAAAGAATTAAAGATGTGCCTGGCCAGACAAATCAGGTTTTACTTGGGTGTTCCGCTTTGGAAGCTGAGTTCAAGTCTGAGAAGCATTGTTGTTTGTTTTTGTTTTTGGCCTTGACCAACCCTTGGTCCGGGCATGATAGCCTTTATCATTCTTTGAAGCTGGGACTGTTTGAGATCTAGAAGGAAGATGTATCTTTTCGAAGGCCTCTGTTTTGTACCATTCAGTGGCTTTGCTCTAGAGTGAGGTTCAGTGCACTTTTTACTTCATTTCTCAGGAGACAGTAGTTTTCATGCCTCTAGATTATCTGGCTCCACCAAGCCTCATTTTCTTTCAGTATCTCTGTTTCCTATTTTCAGGTCTCCTGTTGCTTTGTGGAGTGGTACCACACCACTGGGCTTGGTCTGGGCCCTGTTCAGTCCTCTTGCTGTGCTTACTGTAGATGTGGTGCACATGTCAAGGCGGACAGCAGAGGGCAGCAGCGGCAAGTCGCTGGCATCTTCATCCTCCTGCTTCCACATTCGTCCTGTCAACACCTCCTTTAGAGCCTCCTCCACGCCAGCAAGGCTCTGCTCACTTTTTGCTTAATTTTATGTTCTGCAGCCTGCATTTTGGGCAGTATTTTTATTTTTTTCCTTTTAGGAAGGTGGTCAATGAAACAGAAGTACTTAATGTAAAAGTTTTATAGAAAGTCCTGTATAGGTAAAAGTTGATTAGGTAAAGTGAGTAAGTTCGCATGGTATTTAATCCAGGTGGAATTCTAGAGGTGTGAGTTGAGAGTAAAAACAATTATTTTTTATTTTTTAAATTTGAAGCTTTGGGATGTGAGATCAGCAAACGAGAGGAAAAGCATTAATGTGAAGCAGTTCTTCCTAAATTCAGAGGACCCTCAAGACGAGATAGAAGTGATAGTGAAATGTTGTTCCTGGTCTGCTGATGGTGCTAGAATAATGGTGGCAGCAAAAAATAAAATCTTTGTAAGTATTCGTATTTTAAAAACCAAATTTAGCCTGATTTAAAGAAAATTAAAATTTTTATTAATTTTTTCATTTTACATTGTTTCTTGATATAAATAAAGTCTAGCTGTGTGATTCTGGGCAGGGTTTCCCAACCTTTCATTATTGTTTGGAATCATGCTCCTGGGGGATTTGGATGGCTTGTGAGAAAAGGTGTGTATAGTCACATAGGTGTGGGAAATATCATGCACTGCTTTCTCCTCTGGGAGATAGACAGTGGGAACTAACATATTTAATGCCTTGGGTAACCCTACATTGTAGAAGCAATTTGTGATGTTGAATCCACTGTTCCTCATGTGTAGTTAAAATGTGGAATAATTCTGCATCACTCTTCTCCTCCTCCTCCTTTTCCTTTTTTTCCCCATTAATTTCCAATACATTGATTTAGGTGATTTTTCAAAGAGCTATGTATCCCTAAAAAATTTATGATTTGGTGACTCTGATAGAAATACTCATCAACAACTGAACAAGATTGTAAGACTTTTGTAAAGTAAATGAAAAGACAGTATTGTCCTCTTGTTTCCAATCTAATGAGTGTTTATATTTGTGCTGTTCAGAGTACTCACACATATAATTTCTTTTGATAGTAAATACCTAGGAGACAAAGCAGATTGCAATGACCCTATGATAATAATGAGGTAACTGAGGTTCAGAGCAGCCAAATAATTTGTCTAAGGTTGCACTGTGAATAGGATGGCCAAGTCTTCTGATTTACGGCTCACTGATATTCTTCTAACAGTAATTTTAAAAGACTTGAATAATAAAAATTATTTTTAAGAGCACAATTAAAATATAATATAGTTATATAAAAATTCACAGAAGGATCTGTGCATATGATTGTTATTGATCTGGTAACTGTGATGCTGGGATCTTGGTTGGTATTTATTTTTATTCCTCTGGTAGGAAATTAAGAGGAAAACGGTCTCCTTTTGTCTAAAGTTTGTCTTAAGTTTGCTAAAGTCTTTAAGAACAGAAAGGAACTACTGCATTTGCAAGTTTCAAAGATTTCAAATTTATTCTTATTAATAAGATATGTATAATGTAAAATTTGTCTTTTTTTATTTTGGTACTGGGGATTGAACCAAGAGTTACTTAACCACTGAGCTCTTTTAAAAAAAAAAATTTTATTTAGTGACAGGGTCTTGCTAAGTTACTCACTGAGGCTGGCTTTGAATTTGCATTTCTCCTGCATCAGCCTCCTGAGCCACTGGGATCACAGGCCTGTGCCACTGATCCTGGCAAATTTATCATTTTGAAATGTACAATTCAGTGGTATTAATTATATTCATAATGTTGTATAACTTTTACCACTACATATTTCCAAATCTTTTTCATCACCCCAAACAGAAACTCCATAATCATTAATAACTCCCTGTTTGCCATTAGCTAACCCCTGATAACCTCTAACATAATCTATGAATTTACTTATTCTGGATATTTCATGTAAGTGGAATCATACAATATTGGTTTATTTGTTTCCGGCTCATTTCATTAAGCATATGTTTTCAGAGTTCATCTGCATTATAACATATATCAGAACTGCCTTCTTTTTTACAACTGAATAATATTTCATTATATATATGTATATGTGTTATACATTCATGAACTTATATATATATATATATGTATATGTATAATATATCTATATATTCCCCACATTTTATTCATACATTCATCTATGTATGGGCCCTGGGCTTTTCTCTACCTTAGGCTCTTATAAATAATGCTACAGTGAACATTGATGTACAAGTATCTGAGCCCCTGCTTGTTTTTTTTGGTACTGGGAATTGAATTCAGGGTCACTCAGCCACTGAGCCACATCCCCAGTCGAATTTTGTATTTTATTTAGACAGGGTCTCACTGAGTTCCTTAGTGCCTCGCTATTGCTGAGACTGGCTTTGAACTCTCTGATCCTCCTGTCTCAGCCTTCTGAGCCATTGGCATTACAGGTGTGCGCCACTCTGCCTGGCTCCATTGCTTTTGTGTGTATATCTTGGACTAGAATTGCTGGGTCATATAGGAATTCTGTACTTAGCTTTTTGAGGAACCACCAGGCTTTTCCACAGCAGCTGCATCATTTGACATTTCCACAGGCAACATACAAGGATTCCAAGTTCTCCATATCCTTGATAATACTTGTTATTTTCTTTTTTTTAAAAAAACTATAGCCATCCCGGTAGGTGTGAAGTGGTATCTCATTGTAATTTCAACTTGAATTTTCCTGATGACCGGTGATGTTGATCATTTTTTTAAAATGATCATTTTTTAAAAAAGATTTTAAAAGATCTAGTGAAAAAGGAAAATAACGTTACGTTGCATGAAATGCCTTCTTGTTTTAAAAACCTATAGATCTGTTTACCATGCTGAAAGAAAGCTACTGTACAATTACCCTTATGAGTATTTTGCATGTAGATCTCAAATTTTTTTTTAGTTGTCCCTTTCTCCTATTTCTTTCCCACTCTTTGGTATTGTTAATTCAACCCTGCTGTTAGGTTTTTCTTATTTTGTTCCTTCATGATTGGGACGTTTTCTATCCAGTTTGCAAAGTTCCTGTATCACTCTGGGCCACTAAGTTTTAAGAACAACCTGCTCTGGGAAACATTTAAATATGATTTCCTGTGCTTTGGCTTTGGCCCCCAAAGCTGTGCTGCTTACCGTCTTACCATCTGCGCATGCTTCCAGGGTTACATTCACTAAATCTCTTTCTTTTTCTATGTTTTGAAATGCTCACTGTGTTGCTCAGGCTGGCCTTGAGCTCATGATTTTCCTGTCTCAGCCTCCTGAGTAGCTGGGATTACAGGTGTACTCACTACCACTTCATTAAGCTTCTTTCTGGCTCCCACTGGGAACCTCTGTTTTCTTCCTGAGGACTGTGTTTTGGTCATGAATTCGTAGATTGTATCAACATATACTGTATGTATGCATTAAGTATAAACCATCTTATCATTTGGCAAAAACTTTAAAAAGTATATTCAGCATTTAAAATTTTTCAAAAATTGAAATAAAGAAGGATAAATTACTCAAAAATAACTTTTTGGTTCAAAAATGGGAAAATGATGAATTGTAATGTAGTAATTTGTTAGCTCTGGAGAGAAATAGAAATAATGGAGTTAATTTCATTTAGCAAGACTGTGCTGTATATTTTGATCATCTTCATTTATGAATTGCATTTTCTCTTTTGAATAGATGAGCATTGGGGAGAACTACTCTCTGTTAATTTGACTAGTCCATTCATTTATTCACAAAGGTTTTTATTTCTCTTTAGCCCAGCTTGAGAGATCATCTGTGATGCATTTTCCTGTACAAAAACTGTTTCAAGATGAGCAGTGTTTTTAAAGTTGATGTATATTGATGTATTATCTTATTTATTATTGTTAGTAATTATGCCAGTTATTATAGTAATTATGCTAAATATAAAATGTATATCTACAATGTATTAGTAATTATAGTAGTTTTTCAGGACTTAGAATTTATAGTTGAAACGGGAGGAAATTCTTTTAAAAATAAATTTAGATTTAGTTTGGTATAGCTTATCTTTTAAATATTTTGCTTTCATAGATACTTCTATTTATGTTGACAGCTTTTTGATATTTATACCAGTGGCCTGTTGGCAGAAATCCACACAGGCCATCATAGCACCATCCAGTACTGTGACTTCTCCCCTCAAAACCATTTGGCAGTGGTGGCTTTGTCCCAATACTGTGTGGAGGTAAGTCGTTGAATTTATTCAGTGACATCTGGGTCTCTAGAGATCCAAGGATAACAGGGAATGGGTTGCCTAAACCATTAGTTGTTCACGATGCTTTCTTGAAAAACTATAGAGTATTTTCTTCGTAGCCTAATAACCTGTAGCTTTGGAATATTGAACTATATAGCCAGCTTTAGTGTTTCAACAGTGATTGGAGACTTGATTTGACAGTATAACAGGGAATGACAGTACCATTCATCAGGCATTTATTGAATCCCTAGCATTTTGGGGGGGTTGGGGAAACAATGAAATGACCACTGGTTTTCTAGGCTGAACTATGTCATCTCTTGAACAGTATAAGGATAGACAGACTTTTTTCTTCTTAAAAGAAATGAACTTAAAAAAAGTTCAGATTCTTAGATCATTGAGTAGGATAAGATGGAAGTTATATTTAGAATTGATTAAGATAAGATTTTTATTTTTATTGCCAAGCACTAAAGAGTAAAATGACTCTTATAAATTACTATTTATACATATAATTTTGTACTTTCCTAATAAATTATACATTCAGGGTCTGTACCTAACTAGTCTTGGAAGAATTCTATCAAGTGAGTTACTCTATTTTTTTTGAAGTTGTCAATGGACTTTTATTTTATTTTATTTATATGTGGTGCTAAGAATCGAACCCAGTGCTTCACATATGCTAGGCAAGTGCTCTACCACTGAGCTATAATCCCTGTCAGAGTTGCTCTATTAATTTACTCAAAAGACAATGAATTGTATTTTCCCTTCAAAGATGGATTAGTTTTTCAAAGCCTTAATACTCCCTATTCCTTGGTTTGGTCTCACCATCAGGTAGTTTGAGGGGATAGGGCTTTATCTGGAAAGTAGAAAAATTCCCTTGGTTTACAGGTTTCTATTCAAGGGACACTTGACTACAGCAAATACTTCTTCAGTGTTGGGTGCTTATTTCAGTAGTTCTTAGTGAGTTTGCTACCTTGCCTCTTACTATTAAGGCTTTAGGGGAGAGTTGCTAAGCTATATCCTTCAGTGTGGAGGTAACAGATGAAGGCATGAGTTCTGTAAGTGCCTTCTGATTCTTTTTTTTTTTTTTTTTTTAGTACCACGGATTGATCCCAGGGGTACTTAACCACTGAGCAACATCCCCAGCCCTTTTATTTTTTATTTTGAGATAGGGCCTCATGTAAGTTGCTGAAGCTGATCTTGAACTTGTGATTCTCCTTCTCAACCTCCGAGTTGAGGCATGCACCACTGCACCTGGCTGCCTCCTGATTCTTTTTTTCTTTTCTTTTCTTTTCTTTCTTTCTTTTTTTTTTTTTTTTGTGGTACTGAGGATTGAATCCAGGCCAGGGCCTTGTGCATACAAGGCAAGCACTCTACGGACTGAGCTATATATCCCCAGCCCCTGATTCTTAAGTACAGCAATACAAGTAACACTGAAAGACTTTACTCTGAGAACCTGCCTGTTGTAAGCCGAGGCAGTGAATTAAAGAACTCCAGTTCTCTAATAAATTTATTTCCAATAAATTTTCTTTTTATAGGTACCAGGGATTGAACTCAGGGGATTCAACCACTGAGCCACATCCCCAGCCCTGTTTTGTATTTTATTTAGAGACAGGGTCTCACTGAGTTGGTTAGCACCTCACTGTGCTGAGGCTGGCTTTGAACTTGGGATCCTGCCTCAGTCCCTGGAGCCTATAGGATTACAGGTGTGCACACTGTGCCCAGCTCAATAAATTTTAATTTTTATATTTGATGTTACTTATCAAAGTTTGCTATATATTTATGTTATTTTAGTCAAATGAATACATATATTAATTTTCATGGTAGCTCAATCAGAATAAATTTTTAAATAGTTAAAAGAGAGAGAGAGAGAGAGAGAGAGCGTGCGCGCGCTCCAGTTCTGTTCCAGACAGTAGGAAGAAGCGGGGTGGTATGGGCAGGGTACTTCTGGGCAGAGATCTTGAATTAGAAGAGTCAGATCTACCAGGGAACCTGAACTTTATCTGTAGATTCTCAAGGTAGATGTGGTTGGAATTTTCCCCTCTCCAAGTTTTGTCAGGATTTTTAGAGGGAGTAAAGGAACAACCCCTCTTTCAACCTTGTAAGACCCTTACTCTCTTGCATACTTATCTTCTTCTCTCTAGAAAACAATGTCTTCCTTCTTGAAATATAGGGACTTGGCTCAGGAGGCTCTGAGTGACAAAGAAATGAGTGGGAAGAGATGGAGAAAACAAGGAAGGAGGAGAGGAAAAAGTTTCTTTTTTTAAATGTTTTTATTAGTGCATTGTAGTTATACATAATATTGGGGTTCATTTTGACATAATCATACATGCATGAAATATAATTTGTTCCACTTCAACCCCCAGTACTTCTTCTTTCTCTCTTCTCCCCCCTTCCCTTATTCCCTTTCCTCTATTCTACTGGTCTTCAATTTATTTATAGTTTTGTAAAATTACTGCTTTATAAGTATACATACAGGTGAAATTCACTGTGATATACTCATATATGTACTTAGTATAATTTGGTCAATTCCATTCTCCCCCCCACACACTTTTTTTTTTGTTTTGGTCTCTGTTCCTTCCTGTCAGTCCCCTTCCTCTGCTTCAGTGATCTCACTCCCCCCCCCCCCCTTAATTTTTGCCTAGCTTTCACATATGAGAGAAAACATTTGACCCTTGACCTTCTGAGTCTGGCTTATGTCACTTAACATAATGTTCTCCAGTTCCATCCATTTACCAGCAAATGCCATAATTTCATTCTTTATATCCATTCATCCATATCCATCAATGTGTTTACATATTTATGGCTGTGTAAAACTCCATTGTTACATATACCACATTTTCTTTATCTGTTCCATCTGTTGTCAGGCTTCCAGGTTAGTTCCATAACATGGCTGTTGTGAATTGCATTGCTGTAAATATTGAAGTGGCTGTATAGCTATAGTGTGCTGATTTTAATTATTTTGTATAAATACTAAAGAAGGAGATACTGGGTCATCTGGTGGTCCCATTCCTAGTTTTTTGAGGAATCTCCATACTTCTTTTCAGAGTAATTATACTGATTTGCAATCCCACCAACAATGCATGAGTGTACTTTTTCCCCCACATCCTTGCCAGCATTTATTATTGTTTGTATTCTCAATGATTGCCATTCTAACTGGAGTGAGATGAAATCTCAATGTATTTTTGATTTGTATTTCCATGATTGTTAGGATTGTTTAACATTTTTTCATATATTTGTTGGTCATTTGTATTTCTTCTTTGCAAAAAGTCTGTTTGGTTCTTTTTCCCATTTATTAATTGGGTTGTTATTATTATTGCTGTTAAGTTTTTTCAAGAGAGATTTTTCAGTTGTGGAATTGTTTTTGATTTCTGGCTTTAAGCTCCATATATCCCAGTTTGGACTCTAGAGATAAAGAAGAGGAAATTTCATATAATTAGTTTGTAACCATAGAACTAATTCACTGAATGAAAACCACTGGACGTGTGATGAAGTACTTATTTTGTCCATGCTAGATCTGAAATCATAAAGTAGGTCTGTAATCAAAGTGTAATGAAAGGAACTCAGGCACATATGGTACTTCATTAGATTGGAATGTATTTAAGTAATTTATAGCAGAACCTAGGACAAAATACAGCTGGGCTGGTTGCAGACAAAGACAATTTGTAATAAGCATGAATAACAACAGAAATGCGTACATGTTACAATTAGTGCATTCATTTATGGTTTTGCAAGCATTTGGGATGAAGTGGAAAATAGTCTGTATCTGGAAGCTGCTTATATTCATGCTATTATTTTTTTAGATTGATTTTTAAAAAATAGACAAACATTTATATTATTCCAAAATCAAAGTTTTATAAGAGAACTTTCACTATCATCCTTGATTCTTCTTCCCCATCATACTACCCTACCCCATAGATAACAGTGTTTCTTTTTACATATAGAAGCAGATATCTGTGTGCATATATATCCATATCTGTATCTATCCATATATTTCCATATTTATATTTCCAACTGTTTTTTTTTTTTTTTATAAATGATAGTATGTGTACTCTTCTGCATTTTGCTTTTCTTCAGTTAACAATATATCCTACAGATTAGCCATTATCAGGGTGCTTTTCTCACTGCAGTTTGCATAGTATTCCATCATGTGATTAATGTAGTTTTATTCAGTTGGTTTCCTATGGACATACGGTTAGATTGTTTTCAGTTTTTGCTATTAAAAATAGTCATACAATGAATAATCTTTAGCACAAGACATTTTGTATTATTATAGTTTGGGGGTTGTTTTCATGGAGGTGGTATTGCTGAGCCATACTTGCTATTTTAAGTTTTCTTTCTATATTCAAAATGTTTATGAATGTTATTTCCTATATTCTGTGTTTATTCTGTAGTTATGGAATGTAGACTCATGTGTAAAGGTAGCTGATTGCAGAGGACATTTAAGTTGGGTTCATGGTGTGATGTTTTCTCCTGATGGATCATCATTTTTGACATCTTCTGACGACCAAACAATCAGGGTGAGAAATTCTGAGATTTTCATTTTAAACATTTATGATGGTGAGTGAAACTTTCTACAACTAAGAAATTGATGGGAAATATTGGGAGAAGTAAAGTAGGAAGCTATGAGGTTCATATTCTTCCTGGAAAAGTGCTACTATGTGGACTTTAATGATCTCATTCATTCAGACACTCATTGAGTATTACCATGGGTCAGGTGCTATGGGAAGTCCAATGATTAAACTGTATTTTGGTTAATTTGCATATATTACACTTGATTCCTGAGAATAATTTTTGACTCTTTCTTCTAACTTGAATTCCCATATTCTAATATATTCTGCCTTTCATTTTTCTCATCATTGTCTCAACTTTTCCATTCCTATTCCTAGGGTCTCATTACCTATTGCCTGTCTTACATTAGGCTCTCCCACAGTCTTCTTTCAAGCTTTCTACATGCTGCTTTCAGGATATTTTCCTTATGTGCAATATAGTCTTGTCTCTTTTGAGTGGGGAGGATGCTAGGGATTGAACCCAGGTCCTTGCATTTGCTCAAAACAAATACCCCCCCACCACTACCTAGGAAATACTTCTAACTTAACCTGCTGTTAAGCTTCACAGTATGATCTCATTCTGTTCCAATCTGTCTTTCGTTTTACTCCTACAGGTAACCTACATTGGACTGCTCAGATTTTCCTAAAACCCTGTAGTTTCCTGCTTTCTGTACTTTTGCTTAAGTGATTTCTTATGCTTTGAATACCATATTTCCCTATATTTCTGCATTTGAAATCTTGACCATCCTATAGGTTCCCTCTAGCCTTCCTTATTTGTGGGAATGTGTCTTATATCTCTTAATGCTATATAATTCTATGTCAGTTTCTAAGAACACTTATCAAATTCTGATTTTAAGAACAGATTTAAGGGGCTGAGGTTGTGACTCAGAGATAGAGCACTCTCCTAGCATGCATGAGGCACTGGGTTCAATCCTCAGCACCACATAAAAATAAAATAAAGATATGGTGTCCACCTATAACTAGAAAATAATATTAAAAAAAAATTTTAAAAAAGATTTAATTTACTCTCCATCTCTAGTGTTCCTCTGCTCCATGATCTATTCACACATTTTAGCTTATAGATGGGTCTTTGTGTCCATGGATCCTGGTTGGCACTATGGCAGCTAATACAGTGTTTTATACATTTTGTATCTAAAACCTATTTAGTACTTACTGTATGCCAGATATTGTGAAAAGTATTATATGTGTACTAATTTCCTAACTCTAACAACAGTCCTTTTTGAAGCTGAGGAAATAGGCACAGGAAGGTTAGTTGGGCCCAGAAAGGTCACTGCTAGTTAATGTGTCAGTCTTGTTGAGCTGGAGCTAGAATATAAGTCAACTTACTGCTTCTTCCATCAAGAAGGTCTTGTTTAAAAACAAAACAAAAAGCTGTGTTAAGAAACACACTGTTGCAGTATGTTTAGTGATATAATTAATTTATATTCTGGTATATTCTTGTGGTCTGGTATCAAACAGTTTGAGAAGCAGCAGGTGGTGTTTATCTTTGAGTAGCATGGGTTAATAGACTGCTCAAAGTTATAACATTATGTAAAACTAGAATTCATACTGAGGCATTTTGGCTCCAGAGCCCACACTTCTAATACTAAATGCTTCTCACTATAGCATGTGTTAGTAAATATTTATTGTTGGGTTATAATACAACATTTGGAAGTTTTCTTGCATTATAGACATTTTAATTATGAAGCGTGGCTTGTGTTTTGCTTTAAGAATAAAACTTTATATTATCTTAGAGGATGAACTTATAATATATAGTCATTTTTGTTTCTTTATATCTTAATCAGGTCTGGGAGACAAAGAAAGTATGTAAGAACTCTGCTATAGTGTTAAAGCAAGAAGTAGATGTTGTGTTTCAAGAAAATGACGTGATGGTCCTTGCAGTTGACAATATGAAACATCTGCAAGTGAGTATTTTTTTGAGAAAATAATTTGAAAAATTATTTTGGTTGAACTCAAAGTTATTGTTTGTTTTGGACTTGGGGTCAGGCATAATTGTATAGTTCTAACAGATGCCCCATAGGAATTAGTTGAATAAATATATGGGTCTTGAGCTATAGTTTAGATATGCCAGTATTTAGAATTAAATTAGCTGCTACTTCACTGTACCACACTTCTTTTTGATTGATATCTATGATCACATTCCTTGATTGGCACGGAGTCTTTGGGATACCATGAGGACACAATTGAACTTGTTTACAATAGTGATTTAGACATGTCTGATGGCATATATGGAGGGATGAGCATACTAATGGAAGTATTTTTGCAGAGGAAAGATAATAAGTTCTTTGAAATTAAAAATTACCTTAAGTGGGGAAGGAGTCTGAGTCATCAGAACTGAGGAAGGAGCTGGACTTTGTGTACTGAAGCATACCTTTTCATTCATTCATTCACTCATTCATTCGTGTATTTGTTCTGAATGCTTATTAATTCTCATGAAGGAAAAGATTGTGATGTACCACTGAAAGAACTATATTGCTCAGGGATCCCAAACAGTGTACTTTAGGGTGGGACACATAAAGAGGAAGGCATTTTTCAACTGATTGATAAAGGCTCCCAGAGGCCCATTGGCAGAGGAATGGTATTTAGAAGCTCTGAATGGTGGTTACAGAGACAGCAGATGCCTTAAAGAACATTAGCATTTAGCAGCAAGTTAGTGCCACTGGGTTGGTGTTAGGTTGGTGCCTTGAGTAAAGTTTCCTCCAAATAGAGGTCCAGTGCAGTGGGCACTGTGTTGGTAGAGAAGTCTGGAAGCGGGGGTAGCATTGTGAGCAGTAACAGCAGGAAAAAGCAAATCCGACATGGAAGATCAACACAAGAGACTGCCTTCTTGGTGGCCGGACCATGCAGAACAGCTGGGTAGTGGACCTAGGAGGAGTTAGTGTAACTGAGTGAGGGTTGAGTTGTGGCTGAGAGGGGTGGTAAGAGCAGCAGTCAGAGAAGAGCTGGGGGTAGGTAGTGAATTCCTTCTTGCCCTGCAGATTCTTTTTCAAGATGCAACTTGAGTTCATCGTTTTTCCAGATGGATTATATTAGTGCCTTATATATTTTTTTGTTTTCTTTTTCGTTTTTTAGTGGTGCTGAGGATTGAACCTAGTTGACCCTGTAATCTGTATAACTGAAACAAATTTGCTTGTTTCATTTTGAAAAATAATTCAAGAATTTTAGATTGTGACACTAAGGAAAAAAGGAATAACTGACAGTTGTAAGCTAGAGAAATAGTTTTCTAGATAGCATATCTTAGTTGAGTGGTAAGGCAACTTTTTTGTGTGTGATTTCAAAAAGTAATTATTAGCATTTGATTATGAAATTGGGTTACCTTAGTTAAATATTACAGATTCAATCAATAAATTATGCTTATGGGTTCTTCTCCAATATCCCTTTACTTTGTGCCCCTCTCCCTTAAAAATTCTTAAAATTGCCATGCTATGTGAGTGATTTGGAGGAAAAAATTCCTGTTTAAATTTAGATTTGTCTTTTTATGTATGTCTGTTTCAGTCCTGTTTCACCAACCCTTTTGAAAAATATCAGAAAAATATATTTTAACAAATGATAACCCTATTAAAAATGAACTTTGTGAAAAAATGGAAAACAGGGTATGGAGCTAGCTGTGGGATTACGAATCAGACAGATGTGTCTCAGGTGGTGGGCATAGCGCTGCTTTTAAACCTTTGAAGGCTTTTATTTTATGATGAAATGAAATGAAAGCATGAAGTGCTAAATACAGCTGCTGAGACAGGGATGTAGCTTCATTGTTCCCCAGGGAGCTGCAGTTAATTATTTTCTGTGTTTTATTTTATGTTTTTCAATTGAGGCCTGTGTTCTAAAGAAGAAAAACTGCTCCTACAACCTAATAACTGATGTGCCTTGTTTTTTAGCTCATTAATGGAAAAACAGGTCAAATTGATTACCTGACTGAAGCTAAAGTTAGCTGCTGTTGCTTAAGCCCACATCTTCAGTATGTGGCATTTGGAGATGAAGATGGTGCCATTGAGGTATTCAGTTCTAGTCTTGTGTAACTGTGTAACTGTGCGGAAGAGTAATTTATTTAAAATTAAGCACATGCCTGGCATTCTACACGTGCATACTAGACAAGTCTCCCTGTGATCTCTTAGGCATTGTTCTGTGAGAGCCTTTTCCAGGTGTTTGTAAATTTTCAGATTGCCTTTACCTCATGCTTTTTGTATTTTTTATTTTCTACCTAGTGTTTTTGTTGTTCTGCACACATTTCAAACACTGAGATTTAGCCAACTACACAAAAGCATTTTTTTCTCCTCCTCTTAGAAGCTCATAGGTGTGGAATGTAAATTGTTTCCATTTTGGTCCTGATAACTCCTTGGGAGTTTCAGTGCAGGGTGGGCTATGCTTGCCTGTTTTGCCACCCCTTGCTTTTTAGCATTTGGTGTTAGAAGTACATCTGCTCACCACCTGAAATCCTTATCTAACAAGACCAAGTAACTAAAAGTGGAATCAGGTTATAGGCAGAAAAGGTAGTATAATAAAAATAATTTGGGGGGCTTAGGTTATAGCTCAGTGGTAAAGCACTTGCCTTGCACATGTGAGGTACTGGGTTTGATCCTCAGCATCACATAAAAATAAATAAAGATATATGTCCATCTTTAAAAAATCTTTTAAAAAATAATTTGGATAAAAATAGTATTTATTACAAGTGAAATTCATCACAGAAGAACACATTTTTGTATAATAATTTTTTGAGAACATTGGCTCCTTCTCTCAGTTTGTCTCACCTAGACTCATTAGCCACATTTACTTTACTTTGGATTCATTTTCATAGGGAATTACATAGATATTTTCAAGTCTATATTGTTCCACAAAGAAGAGATTGAATACTAATACACAAAATGAAGAAAGAAATGACATCAATTTTATTATATACTTCCTGTGGTCATTGTAGCATGGATTTGGAGTCAAGACTTCATTTTTTTCTTCATTATTATGAAAAATTCATTGTTAAGATGGGTGCTATAAGAGATGATTGTACATTTAGAGGTCAATCTTAGTCTTCCCTTTCCTTTGTGTGTGTGTGTGTGTGTGTGTATAATTTTTATATATTTGTATATAATAATATACAAATTGTTGTATATTATTATTCTGAAAAGGTTCTTGTTTCTTCTTTTTCTTTTACCTGTTTGTTTGTTTGTGGTGCTGGGGATTGAACCCAGACCCTTGAGCATGCTAGGCAACTGCTCTACCACTGAACTACATCCCAACCATGTTCCTTTTGTTTTTAACCATCAATGTATCTAGAAACAAGCCTACTACATCCTTAACCTCTTCAAAGTCCTCAAACATTATATATACACACCCATTATATATATATAAACTACATATATATAGTTATATATATATATATACACACACACACACACACACATAATGAACTGTGTGAAATTACCAATATCTGACTTTCTAAATCTAATTTTAACATATAAAATGGCAATTTCATGTGGTTCAGCCTAAATAATAGCAACTAGCATTTATTAGACATTTACTGTGTCAGATGCTCTCATTGAATTCTTAAAACATCCCAGGTGTTAGATACTGTTATTCTTGTTTTACAAACGTCTGAACGCTTCATTTCTACAACTTTCCTAATTAGTAGAACCAGTATTCAAAGGCAGGTCTCTGAGCCTTTGCGCTCCACTGTTATGCTACCCTGCCTTCCCTGGAAGAATTATGAAATTGTCTATCCTGCTCACTTAGGAAGGCTCCCATTCGCACAGTTCTGTTTCAGCTTTTCATCTATGGGACAAAAAAGTTCTGAGAGGAACTACTTAGCAGAGAAAAGATTTATTTTGATTCATGATTTCAGAATTTTCTGTCTATGCTCCACTGGCTTCATTGTTTTGGGGCCTGTAGCAAGACAGAAACATCATAGCAGAAGGGTGTGGCAGAGGAAAGCTGTTTACCTCTTGGCTGCCAGGAATCAGAGAGGAGGGGCTGGGGACAAGATGAAATCCCAAGGGCATGCCCCTAGGGACCCACTCCCTTTAACTAGGCTCCCTTTCTACACTGGGGACCAAGCCTTTAACACGTGAGCTTTGGGAGGACATTCCAGATCCAAACCATTACTTCTCTTTGTTTTCCAAGGGGCCAGTTTGTAGATATATGGGTTAGGTTTGAATTTAACTCCATTGTTATTTTCCTTCGGCTTTCTTGACTACATTTTATTTTATTTTATTTTATTTATTTATTTATTGCAACCTATGTTCTGTCCCTCAACAATGGTGCAGTGGAAAGAGCGATAATGTGAATATCCTGATTTACAACATAATTCTGCTGGAACTGTGGATCCAGTTTCCTCAACTGGAAAATGGACAGAATGATGTTTTGCCTTAGCCATGTAGGAAGTATATGGACACAGCCATGAAAGCTTGTCTCTCCTATCAACTCCCTATGCATGAACTCAAAAATAGAAAAAATGAGACTCTTTCCTGTGTACAAAAGTAAAACGCAAAACCATAGCAGAAAATTATCATCATCATTATTATTAACTGACTATAATCTGAAGACATTAACTTATCTAATAGAAGCAGGCAGGTTTTAATATATCTAAAGAAAGACATCAGGTTCCACAACTTACTAGTTTTATTATCTTGGACAATTCATTTCATCAATTAGAACCTTACGTTCTTTCTTTGTATCAGAATTGGGATGCAGATTCAGAGAGATGATCTATGTGAAGTTTTAAGCTTAACACCTGACATAGAACCAGCACATAATATGTGTATGTGTATGTATATATATATATATATTTTAATTTTTATTGTTGGTTGTTCAAAACATTACATTTTACTACATTTTAATTTGGGCGAAGAAACCATATTTACTTTTGTGAGGGTGTAAGTTCATTTGAGAGCATTTTTGACAGTCATTATTATTATTATTTTTTTTAGTTTCTATTACTAATTTATGAATCTCTGTATTTGGCACATTAGTTCTTAGCCCTCTTAAGTCTTGTCATCCTTTATCTTTTCTCATCTCTGTTGTTTTGTGAAGAGCTTGCCTTGTCTTATCCAGGATATTTACTGTTCTTCTTTTTCATCCATCATAAATGTCTTTTTTTTTGGAGGCTAAGCCTGGACTGCCTCTTATTTGATGATTTGGGTAGTTGAGTATTCAGAGGGATCACTGGTTCCTCCTGCCATCTGGCCATTCCAGTGAATGTTTGATTTTACATGGTGTGTGCTAATGTGTATATATGCATATATGTGTATTTTTGTGTCCCATTCACTTGTGTATTTTTAGTTAACTGAAAGAACTATGAGAGGGGAATTCTGTACCCTTCTCTCATCCTATTTTCTTTTAGTATCTTTGTGGGCATAATGCCTAGGTATTGCTTAATTTCTTTGTATTAAGTTTTCTGTGTTTTTCTACTTTGAAGATTTTAGAACTTCTAAACAACAGAGTCTTCCAGCCCAGGGTTGGTCACAAGAAAGCTGTACGGCACATCCAGTTCACAGCTGATGAGAAGACTCTCATTTCAAGTTCAGATGATTCTTCAATTCAGGTGAGAGAACTAATGAATTCCTAACACATATAATATTAGGGAGAAGAACAAAGGAACATTTCTCTAGCAAAAGAACATTTTGAATGTGCCTGAATTCTAGTGTGCATTTTAAGCATATCACTTCTGGAGTGCATTCAGATTATGCACATGGACTTAGATGAAACCCATTTGTGTTTCTTACCTTTCCTTGTGTGTGGTGAGCAGTTTGATTTAGAACTCCCCACTGGAAGGTTGTTTGTTTTGAAAATCCAAGATTCATTTGAATTCTTTTGTCTGCCTTGGTATTTGTATTTGTATCAGTAAATAAAATTTTTGCCACATTTATGTAATTGCACTAATAAAATCTGATTAAAATAATTTCATTCTTATAAAGAATAACAGTTATTACAGAGATGAAATTCTATGAAAATTCTATGAAAAAAGGAGTGAAGATCGTGGACTTACTATATGTTCTTTTAAAATTTACTTGGTTTTCATTAAAGTTTCATGAACATACTTTAAAAACTCAGATAGTAGTAAGAGGCTTATTATGAAAACTATACCTCTTCCAATTTCTAATTCTTCAGAATTACCACTTTTAGCTTTTAGAGTTTCTTTTGATATATTTACCTTCTTACCTCCATATGGCCTGCTGATAGTGCTATTTTGGATTTTCCCATCTGAGGAATTATCTACTGGCTTCCCTATAGTAAGGTGCAGATTTGGGTTTTCTTCTTCCTCCCCCGTTCTACCTCTAGCATATGTATGTCTACGCATGCGCACACCCCATTGTCCTAATGCAGTATGACAAAATTTTCTTTAGGTCTTTAGTATTATTACTATGACTAAGTAGACTTTGTGTACTAAAGATACTATGAATACATTTATAATTCAGCCTTTCTCTAGTCATAGTTGGAAACTATTATTTTATCTTAAAACTTGAAGTTATTACTTCATTTTCCTCCAAATTCCAAAGTTGATGTTGAAAAGTCTGAAGCGATTCTGTTTCCTAATCTTTCTCTGTGGAAGATTTTAGGGTCTTAGTCTTCACAGAAATTTCATGTGTTTTGGTGTGTGTTTGATTTCATTCATTGTTTTGTATGTTTAGTATCTTAATTGGAAATGTATTGTTTTTAATTTAGGAAGTTCACTTTGAATTATTTCTTTTATATCTCTATTTATCTACATGTATATTTTACATACATATATATTTAATTACATATATTTATATATATATTTGGTTTGAATCTGCCTTCTCTTTCTGTAACACCTCTCATTTAGATGTTGGCTCCTGGATCAGTCAGCTAGTTTTCATCTTCTATATTTCAGCTTTCTATACTGTGCTCCATTTCCTGGAAGTGTCCTTAGTTTTATCTTTCACCCTTTTTATCGAGTTTTAAATTTCTGCCATTTTTCATTTTATTTCTGTTTTATTCTATTTTTTTTCTTTTTATTTTAATGCCCAAGAGTCTATTCTTATTATTTAATCTTGGTAGGGTTCTTTTTTTTGTCATTTTTGGAACTGGGGGTCAAACCCAGGGTTTTGTAATGCAAGGCAGATGCTTTGCCACTGAGCTGCATCCCAGCCCTTATTGTTTATTTTTTTGGAAGAGCTTTATGTTCTTTTTTTTATAGATGGAATATCTTCTCTTTCCTCTATGAGGAGATACATACACACATATACAATGTATGTAGAAATTATATATTTTAAATATAAATATGCAGTTTACATATAAATATGTAAATTGCCTGCACACGTGCATACACATGGGTGTGGGAGCATGTATACACACACACACACTCACACTCACACTTTTTGCCCTCCAAGTTGTCTTTTTCTGTTTGGTTGCTTTTGCCTTTGTTTTAAAGGCTTCTTTAGCCATGCAGTGATCATTGGGTACCTGAGATATCTGTGAAAAGGCTCATTTAAAACTTTCTGTGTTTACTGAGACCTTCTCTGAAAAGTAAACTGGATGGGAAACCTTTCTGTTAGTATTTCTGGGTCTTTTGTCTTTTTCTCCTCAGATTCCTAGAAAAGAATCTGGCAATTTTCTGCCTGGAGGATAAATCTGGCTGATGGGTTCTCAGAAATAGGTAGAAGAGAACTAGGAATAGATGCTAGAGGTCAGCATTTGTTCTGTATTTCACTTGCTCCCTCTGTTCTCCAAACTCCAGTTCTATCCTAGATGGTGCTGGTACCTTATAATTCAAGATTCTGGTGTGTTTTTATTGTCTGTAGCAGCATTATTCTGCAATTTATTCCCCTTTTCTCATAACTTTGGGATTCAGCAGCAGTTTTTTCTAATGTTTTAACAGGTCAGAAAAATAGAGAACTAATGAATTCCTAACACATATAATATTAGGGAGAAGAACAGAGAAACATTTCTCTAGCAAAAGAACATTTTGAATGTGCCTGAATTCTAGTGTGCATTTTAAGCATATCACTTCTGGAGTGCATTCAGATTATGCACATGGACTTAGATGAAACCCATTTGGGTTTCTTACCTTTCTAGCTTCTCGCCTCTAATCTTTCATTTTTATAAATGTTAAAAATGCATTCTTATTTTCATGAGATCTCTTCGCACCTTGCATTCCCCTGTTGTTTTTGGACCTTCTCTTTCCTTTGTTGTATCATCTTTGTTCTGCTTAGTTTAGATTCTGTTTCTACTCCTTGCAGGGTTTTCCTGGTTAATTCTGAGAGTTAATGGCCCAGGCTGGTCTACCTCTCCAGACAGTACCTACTCCTCCTGTACTCAGTTTCTGCTGCTCTTTTCTGGTTGGTCCAGGAAGTGTCGCTAGGCTTCTTTGGGATTCTCTGCTTCTTCCTATGTAGATGTTAATCCCATGCAGGTCTTACGGCTCTATTTGTCTCCATCCGTTTGTATCTTGGGGTTTGTGGGGATACCTTGTCACTTAACATGGTCTTACAGATAGCATTAGTGCAGTTTTGGTTGTGTTATTCTAGTTACTCTGACTGCTTTTATTAGATGGCTTCAGGGAGACTAATGAACGGTGTCTGAGCCACTGCTGTTTTCCCAGGAGTCCTGGACTTCTGATCGTAGCCCATCCTCATGCCCACCTTTGGATATCCTTAGAGCCTCCAATTTCTGAGCATTTCAGGAGTTTGTAGCATCTGTTTTTTGTTTTTCTCTGTTGTTTTTAGGATTCTGTTTTCTTGGTTCTGCTGCGTTAGTCACCATTTTCCTGCTTTCCAGCTCCAACATTGTGTCACTGTCTCCTTTCCCATCCCCCCCCTTTTTTTTTTAAACATTTAGAATTTCTTTTATTTGTATATATGTATATATATGTGTGTGTGTGTGTATTTTAATTGTCAATGGACCTTTATTTATTTGTTTATATGTGGTGCTGAGAATTGAACCCAGTGCTTCGCACATGCTAAGCAAGCGCTCTACCATGGAGCCACAACCCCAGCCCTCCCTTTTCCATTCTCTTGACCTTGCCATTTTAACAGGGTTTTAGAAGGAAAGACATAAGTGCATATTCAGCTGAAGTCACTATATTCTTTTATTTAGTACATATATTTCTTTTTGTGGCAGTATTTAGTTAACTATACTATTAAAAATGGTTTTAGAAAAAAAGGTGGGTTTCTTTTTTTTTTTTGGTACCAGAGATTAAACCCAAGGGTGCTTGACAACTGAGCTACATCTGCAGCCCTTTTTTGTGGTTTATTTAGAGACAAGTTCTCACTGAGTTGCTTAGCGCCTCACTAAGTTGCTGAGGCTGGCTTTGAACTCCTGATCCTCCTGCCTCAGCCTCCTGAGCCGCTAGGATTATAGACGTGCACCACCACGACTGGCTAGGAGAAAGGTCTTTTTATGTTGTGTCTTTGTGGATCCTGTGAAGGTGTAGTGAAATTTGGCTTCAGTCTAGAAACTTTTTTATTTTAGGATCCCATGATGGTCCTTTATTAGCTGTGAAACTCTGTAATAGTCACATTTTTTTCCTCTCCAGATGTCTTTGAAATAGTAAAACTAAAGTGCATCTGATGAAATTCTGTTGAGACATCATATGGTATATAGTCTTTCTATTAGAAGTTTTAATTCCTAAGGTTTTATGACCTGCTTAAAGATACCCTCAGCCAGAGGAAAAATACTTTCTAGAAATACTTTCAGAATGGGAGTTATTTTTAGAAATACAAGTTATGTTTTATCTTCTTTTTCTGTTCTGCTCAGAATACTTTTTTACATTTACAGTGTCTTAATGAGTGTGCTTCCATGCAGCAGAGCTCTTGGTAGGTATTTCTAAACAATGACTGATTGAGTTTTGTTTTAGATTTTTTATGATTTAGTAAATGACTAAAAACGTAGGTTTGTTTTGTTCATCGTTGTATCCCCACTGCCTGGAATGTAGTAGAAATTCAGTAAATCTCTGTTGAGCTGAAGTTATTGCCAAAATTCAAAGAATCAAGTGACCTAGTTATAGCAGAGTTATGAAAATTGAGGTCCACTTTGGTAGTTTTGTGATTATTTACCTTGAGGTAAGTAAATAAAGTCCAAGTAGTAGCCATGCTCACCTGAGTCATTGTATAATTATTTATTGACTCTTGCAAGTACAGGAAAATTTTTTTAGCATTTTTAAATTTTAAGTTTTATTTATATAGTTGAAAAAATTCAGTAGTTTGTATACTCATAAAGGTTATAGCCAAATAGACATCCCTCAACTCAACTTCGATGCATTTGACTAATTTGGGGGGGAATGTAACTGTTACACCAAGGTTGATTCAAATGGCATGTTAAGTTTGAGCTCACAAAAAAAAAAAAAAAAATCACTGTCATCACTGCCTCATAGAAATCTTCTGTAATAAAGCTAGGAAGGCTATTATTAATCTCCCTTCAGTGACTGTCACATTTTTTGTCACATCTGTGCAGGAAGGTGCCCTGGCTTCTTGATGTGGAGGGCAGCAGTAAGCACCTTAGTTGGGAATGGACACTGAATCAGACACAGCTGAGACTGGTAGTGTCTGTCAACAAGGGCGAGCTGTACAAGTGGTGAAGCCCTGGGAGGGTAGGAGGGAGCTAGGAAGTTCCTAGTACAAGTGTTCGGGTGTTTCATGCTTAGATACACAGGGTATCCATCCTTTCTGGTATAGTCTGGGGAGCCAGGAAAGCTGTTCTCACCCCACCACCCAGCATATCTCATTGCATTCTTAAAATACTGAAATTTCTAATTCATTCTCATTAGAATACTCTTACTTCTAGTTCCTTGTCTAAAGCCCCAGTTTGCATACAGGATACACTGCTCCTGGTGATCCTGTTTTTGAGAACATGCACCCTGAGCCAGAAAATAGGGAAAGATCTGAGAGCCAGGGCTTGGTGAGGAGGGTGACTTCCAAGAGCAGTGAAAAAAGGAATAAAGAAAGAGGAGTAAGAGATGTCGTTTATTTTTTTCTTTTTGTGATGCTGGGAATTGACCCAGGGCCTTGTGCATGCGAGGCAAGCACTCTACCAACTGAGCTATAGCCCCAGCCTGAGATGTTGTTTCTTCTATAGTTTTGCTTAAGCCTGATAGGAAAAGGCTTAAGGACATTTTTACAGCTTGAACTTCACCAAAAACTAGACCCAGAATGTTTGTAATAGGCCTACCTCGGTTGGTGGCTGATTTTTCTTTATCTTTTTATCCTTTTGGAGCCTGCCTGATGGCCCACACCTTCAATGGGCACTTTGGGCTGTCTCTTTGAATATCTTCCCAACCTTTTTTCTCTACTGTTCCTTCTGCTTCTCCTGCGTTCTAGCCAGATTGAACTAGGAACGGTCCCTATACTCTTTTAACATTTTTGTACACCTATACTTTAAATCTAGATTTATTCCTTTTGTTTGAAAAGCCCCTCAATTTGTGAATCATACTTCCAGACCATTCCTTTAGCCTACTTTGAATGCACTATCTCCACCAAATCTTCTGTAAGGAATTGCTTTTTGATTTCCATTTAATTTTTATCTCTACGATTAATATCATCTGTTTTAGTTAGCTTTTTGTCACTGTTACCAAAATACCTGACAAGAACAGCATAGAGGAGGAAAGATTTATTTTGGCTCATGGTTTTGGAGGATTGAGGTGATTGTTGCCCAACTCCATTTCTCTGGCTTAAAGTGAGGCACAATATCATGATGGAAGGCCCTGCTGGAGGAATGCTGCTCAGTGCATGACAGCTGGGAAGCCAAGAGGGAGAGAGGGGAAGTGTCCACCTCCCAGTAGTCTGTTCAGCTACCAGGGAATTAATCCATCACACAGATTAATCCACTGATAAGATCAGGGCTCTCATGATCCAGTCATTGCTTAAAAAGCCCCACCTCTGAACCTTGCTATACTTTCACCACAAGACTTTGGGAGGACATTCTAGATTTAAACCATGACATCTATGTAGGATTTTTTTTTTTTTTTTTTTTTTAGTATGTCTCAGTTTTTATGCTAGACTCAGGTTTCTTTTTTTTTTTTTAAATTTATTTTTTAGTTTTAGGTGGACACAATATCTTTATTTTTATGTGGTGCTGAGGATTGAACCCAGTGCCCCATGCATGCTTGGCAAGCACTCTACCACTGGGCCACAACTCTAGCCTCTCAGGTTTCTTTTTGATAGATCCTTGCTTGATTCACATTTGCCTCACATGTAGGTACTAAATAAACATTTGTTAAATGAGTTAATCTGAAGTCAAGAATTAACAAGGCTCTCAATATAGTTGCTTTGATTAGTAAATATGGGATGTTTTACACATGGACATGGCCTAGAAATAGTCTCTTCTGTTCACTCCTGTGTCTCAGACGTTCTTATGTGCTTATTTTGTGTTAGTTACTGACATTATTTTAATTCCTCGTCCGCTTGTATCTGAAGATCTCTTCCTGAAGCTCCATGTGAAAAATAATGCCCTATTGCTTCTTCTTTCATTTTGAGGCTTGCATTAGGGGATGGCTAAGTCTCTGAAGCTTGGAGACCCTATGACCTGATTTTAAGCTGTTTGGGTCAGCTGACCTTGTTGGGTAATAGGTCTAGCTTCAGTGGAGCCAGAATCTACAGACGTGCCCAGCTTGTGGTTCAGAAATCTGTGAATATGTAATTGGGATAATTTTCTCTGCAAAATTTAATCAGATGGTGAGCTCACTGCCATATTGTGGCTTTTCTCCATCTTCTGGTATAATTAACTGTTCTCCAAGCAACTGAAGAAAACAAATTTTATTTAGGAGAAAAATATTTTATTTTGCCCCAAGTCAAGTTAATTAAACCCAGCTTTTGTCTTTGTAAAATGTGGATACCATATTCCTTGTTACTCCTCTCTGTTTGGAGTGCTACAAGGATAAAGGACTTGAACTGAGAGTGCATACTCTCCCTGCCCATCCATGGGATATTATTGAGGGAGGTTATAACAAACTTATTTCTTTGATATTCAGATATGGAATTGGCAGTCAGAGGAATATGTTCTTCTGCAAGGCCACCAGGAAGCAGTGAAAGACTTCAGGCTTCTAAAACATTCAGGATTGCTTTCTTGGTCATTTGATGGAACAGTGAAGGTAATTTGAATCTCAGGTTTTTAATTTTTTTTCAGTATTTTGCTATTGCAACAATTATATTTCAGTAGCCAAGAGCACATAGATGTTAAATGGTGCAGTTTCTAATTTTTATATTCCTGTTTTTTTTTCACTGTGGTCACTTATATCTGCTGTATATATGTGAGCATTTTATACCAAAGGGTACTTACTTAAAGAAGTCAGAATAACTAGTGTGCTAAAACCCATATTTTAGATCTGTCTTATAGTTGATCATGCTCTTTAATACAAAATGTTCTTAAAAGTTTAACTTCTAAGTGTTTTGTTCTTAAGGTATGGAATACTATTACTGGAAAAATGGAAAAAGACTTTGTCTGTCACCAGGGTACAGTACTTTCTTGTGATATTTCTTCTGATGCTACCAAGTTTTCATCTACCTCTGCTGATAAGACTGCAAAGGTATGTCAATAAATTGAACTGTCCATGCATAAAACTGTACTATTTTTTTTTCTTTTTCTTTTATCTTTTTATTGGTTGTTCAAAACATTACAAAGCTCTTGACATATCATATTTCATACATTAGATTCAAGTGGGTTATGAACTCCCATTTTTACCCCAAATACAGATTGCAGAATCACATCAGTTACACATCCACATTTTTACATATTGCCATATTAGTAACTGTTGTATTCTGCTACCTTTCCTATCCTCTACTATCGCCCATAAAACTGTACTATTGATTATGTATTATGAGTCCAAATAATGTATAAAACAGGATAGTAACAATTTCTATCTAATGTCTGTTTCATATTTTAGGACAGCATAATGGCTAATCTTTAAAAAGGGTTTGCATATGGTGGACTTTATTCTAAGAACTTCATTTCCTATAGTAACACTTAATCTTCATACTGTAGCTATCATTGTCCCCATTTTACAGATGTAGAAACTGAAGTTGGAGAAGCTTATATGAGTTACCCTCAGTCACAAGGAACCAGTAAAGAGTGGAGCCCAGTGGGCTGGGGTTGTGGCTCAGTGGTAGACTGCTCGCCTAGCACATATGAGGTGCTGAGTTTGATTCTCAGCACCACATAAAAATAAATAAATAATGCACTAGGCCCTGGGTTCAATTCCTAGCACCATAACTAACTATAACTAACTAACTAACTAACTAAAATAAAGGTATTGTGCCCAACATTTATTTATTTATTTATTTATTTTTAATGGAGCCAGTACTCATACTCAGGTCTCTGTCACTCCACAGACTGTTCTTAACTGATTTGTGTTCTTCTAAGTCTAAAGATAAAGAAGGTATGACTTTTGTCCTTGAGTGGAATTTAACTTGAGTAATTAAAGGGAAATTCAGAAAAATTAATAGGGCTGCAAGTTGGAGTTTGGGCATCTCATTAAAGTATATGCACTGCAAATGTTTCAAACTTCCATTGATGGAGTTTATGACTGAATAGTACTCAAGTCAAGGTTTGCAGATGCTTGTTTTTGAGTTTGTTTATCATTCCTAAACAATTGTAATTGCCTTCCAGATCTGGAGCTTTGAACTCCCTTCTCCTCTACATGAGTTGAAAGGCCACAATGGCTGTGTACGCTGCTCGGCCTTCTCTGTGGACAGTTCCCTGCTGGCAACTGGAGATGACAATGGAGAAATCAGGGTAGGCTGTTTGCTACATGAGAGCACTGCTCCTCTTGGAGCTTGGGCCTGCACTCTTTACCTCTTGGGGACCTTTGATAATGGGACAGGGAGGCACAGGCCCTGGGGTTCTGATTGGATGAAGCATTCTTTGTATATTTTTGTGTGTTTGCCTTTACTGTAGGAAGAATTCATTTTGGAGTTAGACTGAGGCATTTCCTACATATGTGAGGAGGCAAATGCCCTAGTTATTTGCAGCTGGTTCTCTGCCATTAGTTTGAGAGTGATTCATCTTAATTTTTGGACTTGAACCAAAGGTTGCTTTTAGTGGCAAAATTTGAGGAAAGTAATTTTGTAAATCATTGTCTGGGTTATAAATGAATTGCAAATTCTGCTGGTTTTGATTGCTCAAAGAAAAGATCTCTTTAGTACTTTACCAATTAGTCAACATTTACAGTGTGGTTAGTTGCAGTCTTCTCTCTGCTTTGTTAACTGAATAGTGCAGAGGATCACATTTCTGTAATTGGGTGGGCATTGAAGGGCTTCTTACTGAGGTAGAGTCTGCAGGATAGGCCAGATTTTACCATCCTGCAGTGCTTAAGATACACATATAAACTGTGCCGATTTTACTTAGGAAAACGTCTTTTTTAAAAGGGAGACAATCTTCATGTCTATGGAAATACAGTGCAATTTGGAAAGTATTGCATGCTGTGAGATCAGAAATCACAGAAAAACAGTCAGAGCTGGTGGTGTTAAAGGATTGGACAGATATGGGGAATTGTGGATATTGGAATGGCTGCTTAGTGATCAATATACATGGAGGATTGAAACTCAAGGAGTAGGCATATAATGCAGACCAACAGGAGAACATGGAATTTTTATGAATAGAGGTAATCAGAAAGGATGTCCAGTAAAATTAATATTCTCCTTAAGGACTAAGGAACAAACCTTCTATTCTATCCCATTCGCATAATGCTCTGCCAGCTGAAGTGGCAGGCCACTGTGGGATATTCCTTGTGCTTTGAGTTCTCATCTTTGGATGAAAGGGCTCCTTTACAAGTTGAGATAGTGTTCCATTTTTCAGAACCCCCTAAAGGAAAACTCTTAAAATTTCAAATGTGATTTAAAAAATTTTCCCTGGTACATTTTCTGAAGAAAATTTTGTTTTTCTACTTGATTATTCATAATGTAGGAACACGATTCATTTTTGTACATATAAATAAAAATAGCTATATATATTTATATCTAGCTATATGTATTATATCTACCTATATATATATTATGTATAGCTGTCTTACTGAATTCTGTATGTTCTTTTCCATTAGTTTCTCTTGAAATTTCTAGGGAGACATTTGCTGATTTTTTTTTTTGGTGGGGAGGTGGGGTACCAAAGATTAAACTCAGGGACATTCAGTCACTGAGCCACATTCCCAGCCCCATTTTGTATTTTATTTAGAGACAGGGTCTCACTGAGTTGCTGCCTCACTGTTGCTGAGGCTGGCTTTGAACTCACTATCCTCCTGCCTCAGCCTCCTGAGCTGCTGGGATTACAGGTGTGTGCCATGGCGCCTGACTTCAGGGAGACATTTTCAAGTGATGATTTAACTATTTCCTTTTGTACGTATGCCTCTATTTCTTTTATTATTCTCTTGTGCATTTCACTATTGTGTATTAAGTATCACAGGAAATAAATGGACATCATCTGTAAATGACTGGGTTGTTGTTAAGACTCTAGTAAAATAATCTTAGAATATAATATATGTATTTAGAACCTCACAGGGACTTACATACTTTAGATGTTTGAATAATATTTGTCAACATTTTTGATATTAACTTTTGGACTTTTTTTTTCTTCCCCACTTAGTTTATATGGCTTCTTTTGTATTTCTTGCATCTCCCTTCATTCATTTTTCTTTTCTTTTTTTATGTACTGTGCTGGAGATTGAATCCGGAACCTGCACATGCTAAGCACATGCTCTACTACCAAGCTATACTCCTAGCCCCCTCTTTTAATTAGAGTTAGCATTTGAATCAGTCACTCTATCCTTTTGCTTTGTAAGAATGATCTCCATATATCCCAAAGATATGTAAATATATATTTTAAAACTAGAGAAGCTTCCGGGTAACCCGTTAATGGACTGTGTGTTGTGTTTGCATAGATATGGAATGTCTCAAATGGCGAGCTTCTTCACTTGTGTGCTCCAGTTTCAGTAGAAGAAGGAGCTGCTACCCATGGAGGCTGGGTGACGGACCTTTGTTTTTCTCCAGATAGCAAAATGCTTGTCTCTGCTGGAGGATATCTTAAGGTAAGAGTTCCTGAAGGACTGTGAAAGAGAAGAATCATCTCTGCCTTTCTTTCCAAGCTGTTCCACTTCCTGTTTCTCAGTTGGCTCCCTATAGTGCAGCAGAGTGAAAGGGCAGTTGCTGTCACTGTTTTGCAGTGATGAGACTGAGGTCAGCAAGGGTGCTTTCCTCAGGTCTCTTGTAGGCTTTGATGACAGCTCTCCTCTCAGTTCACCAAAATCTAGATGGTCAGAATGACTAGCAAGCAAGTGGGGTGTTCAACAATTTTACCCTCCATGTCACTCATTATTAAATATTTTTGTTGAAATTCTTTTAAAAATATTTGTGGAATTTATTTTCTTCAATATCAGTCACAACAACAACAATAATAAAAGCAGCATATTGCTCTATAATTTATAAAATGTGTTACTTCGTCATCTCACTAGCTAGTTTTCTGAAGCCTACATTTTATACCATCCTTGGTTATAGAAGAGCATACTGAATTTTGTGGACATTGTGACTTTCCTGAAATTATATAATTAGTGAGTAGAAGGGCCAGGACTCACACCCAGGTCTTCCTCCTCAGCTTTTTGTAGTGGGTTGGCTTCTGCAAACTTACTGGTGGCTCTTGGGGCCATGATTTGAATATGTTGTGGTGCTTCAAAGTCTTTTTTTTGGTGCTTGCATCTGTTAATCCCTCCATTCAGTAAGATTGCTCTCCATGCCTACTGTGTACTCAGGTACTACTGTGTGGCGCATTTGTTAAGTTTTGTTCCTGCCTAACAGCAGCTAATAGTCTGGGGAGGCAGGTGATAAATAAAGCCTCTAAAGTGCAGGAGGGGTCTGGCATATGGTTACATGAGGGAAGTGGATAGGCTGCTTGGTGGGAGTTACCAGAGGTTCACATGGAGAGGGAAGATTGAGGGTCTTTAGAATAGTGGTTTACTTCTTTTTTTAAAAAATATATTTTTAGTTGTAGTTGGACCCAATATCTTACATTATTTACTTATTTTTTTATGCGGAGCTGAGAATCGAACCCAGGACCTCACTCATGCTAGGCACGTGCTCTATCTCTGAGCCACATCCCCAGCCCAGCCTTTACTTCTTAAATGGGTAGAAGGTGATACTATATATTATACTGACCACTTGAAAATTCTATAAGCTTTTCATTTAGAATAGATCCCATATAAGATCTTATGATACTGATATTTCTTACTGAAAACAGCCAACTGAAGCTGATTCTGATCATCTAGATATTCCGAAATACTTGAATGAAGTTTTGGTTCTATGGGACCCATATCATTGCAATTATCTACAACATAAAACTCTAGCTTATAAAATAAGATAAATTAGGTAACAGTTTTTAGCTCTATGAAAAGATATGAATTATGATTCCTTTACAAGGTTGCATTGGAAATACAATTCTGTCAGTGTTAATGCTGCATTAACCTCTGTCTTTTTGGGCACAACTTCATTCAGTTATCAGGGGATCCCAAGTCATGATCATCACTTGTTTTCCTTTAAGGTAAAGGTAAACTGTAACTCTTGGTTGCCTCTGAGGATAATGCTTAGAGGAGGGTCATTGCTGCCTGTGTCAGAAGCTGAGAGTTTTGAACTGTATTAGTTCCTGAAAACTGCTCAGTCTTCTGACACCAAGCTTCTAGATACCATGCCATTTGATTTCCTGAGCTCCATAAATGCTGTCACATAATTGTGAGTCTGGCTTTTAAGGTGTTACAAAGATCAATGACCAGATTTGTGGAGCTCTTGGAGAATTTTGAAATAAAGCAGCAGAACAGGTCTGTGTGCTCTAGGGGTTATGTCTTAAGGCTAAAAGAAACTGTAGCATGTATATTTAGTCTGTATATTTAAGTGATGATCAGGCTGCTTTTGCCTTCTGGTTTGATTACTGGCATGGTTATAGCCCAGCCTGCATCTACCCAGCATGTTAATGAGACTATCCAAAAGCACAGAACAAATTAAAAGTAAAAAGGAACAGCTGCTGTAGTGGCCAAGAAATTAGGCCTTTTGAGTCTGCTCACTTTAAAAAGAATCCAAGCTATTTAAATTGAGTGCCAGTGAAATAAAGTAGGTATCCAGTTGCTAAAAAGATTTTAACTTTCAAAGTTACTTCTATTTGTACGTGAAAAAATAAGATAGCTTTTACCTGAATTAATGCCACAGAGTACATATTGTTATAATGCAAGAAATTCACATTAATTCATACTCCTGAGGAAAAAAGCTGATCTGAAAGGTGGAACACATGGTGGTAAGTGAAAGTGTACCATCATGTAGAGGCAGCAGTGTCATGGTTGGGAGAGTGGGCCTGGGGACAGACTGAGTTCAAAGCCGGACTGTGCCACTCATTAGCTTTGTGACTTTGCACAACATTGTTCTATCTCCTGGTGCCTCAGTTTTTTTGTACAATGGGTGTGACAATCATACCTCATTACAGAGATTTCCCACATACACTTGTCCCCACACGTATGCCGCTTCCCCCACTATCAACATTCCCTACCAGAGATGGTGCATCCTTTGCAATTGATAGACCTGTGTTGACACACATTGTCACCCAAATTCAGTAGTTTACATTAGATTCATTCTTGGTGCTGTACCTTTTATGGGCTTGAACAAATCTCTAATGACATGTATCTACCATTTCAGCATCAAACAGAGTAGGTTTACTGCCCTGAAAATCCTGCGTATGTGCTGCTATTATAGCATCTATTTTTAAAAGTCTATATTAAACTGTCTCCAGGGACAAGGTCTGTGTTAATAGTGGGAAAGGAAGAAGGGTCACTGGATTCAGAAGCCAGATCTTTCCACCTCTGCCACCTGCCAGGGTCTGGGGTTCAGGTTCTTCTTTCAGAAACCCACTTCCTTATTTGTAAAATGGTGGGTTAGGTGATAAGCTATAAGAGCCTTAGACACTGAAAAGTAGTGAGTCTCCTCTCGGGACAGAATGTGTCCTTTGAACTCTTGATTACATTGCCAGTTCTAGAAGATTCCAGGTTAGTGCATTCTGCTTAAGTAAGGTTCAACAAGTCTGGTATGCTTTTATCAGTTCCTGTGACTAAAGAGAACATACATAATCGACTCCCATAACGTGCTAAGGCAGAATGCTAGCCTTGGCCATGGACACAAAGGTGGATGACACTGTGTTCCTAATACTCAAGACTTTTTTTTGTAGTACTAGGAATTGAGCCTAGGGGTACTCTGCTACTGAGCTACATTCCCAGCCCTTGTTATTTTTTATTTTGAGCCAGGGTCTCACTAATTTGCTGAAACTAGCCTTGAATCTGCCCTCCTGTCTCAGCCTCTCAAATAGCTTGATACATCTGAGGCCTTTGAAAAATATGTTCATTTGCATTGTTTCTTGCCCTTGTTTTAGCTGTGAGATACATGGGTAAGCTTTATGGTCTCTATTTGGCAAATGGATATAAATATTGTTATAATCTTAGTGAATTAAAAGATTGGAAGGGAAAGGAAGGGAAAGGAAGCACCTGCTTCATTTGAGATGTTAGTATTTATTAAATAAATACATAAACCATTACATAAAGAAACTGGGTCATATGTTCTTGAATCACGCCTGGTGGAAAGGAAGATTCTCTAGAGAGAACATTCTGAGTGTCTGTCTGAATTCCAGTCTGTGACTACAGAGGGGCACTGGAGTGAAAAGAGGGGCAGTCATCTACCAAGATGTGCAATCAGGAGAGCCCAGTCCTCCATGAGGAACTCTGTCTCCTGGTGCCTGCAGCTCTCAAACAGCTGCTTGTTTCTCTAGAAGTGCTGGAGTGGGGATGGAGTGGGGATGGAGTGGGGATGGGTAGGGATACCTGCGTAGGTCTGAAGCCATCACCAGGGTTGATCAGCAAAGGCCAACCAGGTTGATACTGTCTTCAGCCGTAAATCTTGGGCCTCTTTCCTGCTGTTTGCTTGAGGGTAGGAGAGGGAAGGTGATAGGTCTGCTGGCACTACAAACTGTCAGGTAGTGTAATTACCAATCTAATGAGAATTTTATTTTTTTCTGAACAGTGGTGGAATGTCGAGACGGGGGAATCCTTACAGACCTTCTACACAAATGGAACTAATCTTAAGAAAATACATGTGTCCTCTGACTTCAAAACTTATGTGACTGTTGACAATCTTGGTATTTTATATATTTTACAGATTTTAGAATAAAATGGTTTAGAATTAATGTAAGTTAAAGTATTTTAAATTTTGCATTGGAAAAAAATGATAAACTCTGTATTATCAACTTTTTGTAAAGCTGTGAATTGTTTTGCAGGTTTGCATACATTACAAGTGTTTGTGGTTGGATGAATAATATTAGTGTAGCTTTTTCCCATGTGAACACACCTTTAATCTTATTTTTTATCATTATCATTAATAATTTGTCCTTAAGATGCAAATGAAAATGTAAATATGTACCTTGTTGCACTGTTAGTAAAATTTGTTCGTGATGCATTCAAATTAGTTGTCATAATTAATGAGAATAATTTGAAGGATCTATATTTATTTAATATTGTCATTATGCAGGCTGTGCCTCAGGGTGACAGTGGCCTGTTTTCTGAACCACAGCTACCCCCAGGGGGTATAGTTCTCCCAAATACTATCTTGGAGGTTATTTGTACTCCTTAAATTTGCTTTAAAAATACTGTGTCTGTGTGCACACTCTGAAACACTTCCTTTAATTAACTCAATAAGTGAGTGTTGGATTTTATCAGTTCTTTCTATGAAGCAAAAATTATGTGTTAGAGAGTAGAGTTCATGGGTTTCCCTTTTTCTCCCCGTAGCTAAAGGCAGCTCGCCATAACTGGACTCTAGTGGTCAGTATTGAGTGGGTGCTATCCTACTTTCTGTGGCTTTTTTACTTCTTAAGTGACTGAACTTGGCCTTTCTTGATCTTCACTTTATTCCTTTTAAAGCTGTTCTTCCCTAGTTAAATGTTAGTAAATCAGATTAATTAAGGATGGAGCAATTTTAATCACAAGTTTTAATAATACTTTCCTAAGAAATGTGAAATAGTAAAGAATAATTTTCTTCTAATTGCATTTTACTTTTAGGTAAATGGTGTTGTTAGAGCTGTTTTCTTTGTGAATTTCAAGAGACTTCTTTCTGATTTTCTGTGCAGTTCTAGAAGGGTCACTGTCAGTCACTTTGGAAGCTTTTACCTTTCAGCCAACCTTTCTCCTCCTGTCCCTCCTTCCCTCCCTGCCTTCCTTTACTTTCCATCCTCTCTTGTACCATCCCTTTCTCTCTCCCCCTTCTCTGTGAAGTTAATCAGGAAATGCAGGGATTTTTTTTTTTTTTTTTTTAGATGGGGCTTGCTATGTTACCTGGGCTGACTTTGAACTCCTTGGCTCAAGTAATAATCTTCCTGCCTCAGCAGAGTAGCTGAGAAAAATAGCTTTGGACATGGAGAAAGTTCACCAGCATCTATAGCTGGCTATTTTTTTTTAACCTCCTGATTAGGAACTTTAAAGTTTAAATCTTTAATTTTTAGTTAAACTTTAACTAAAGTTTAAACGTTATTATGGGCATTGGACGAAAATTTATAACAGATGTGGTTTTCATATAAAAGTAATCAAAATTCAAAGATTTTTTTTTCTATTACAGAAATAATAAGTCAAATGAATATTAGTATACAATAGTAAAATTATATATAAGCAACAAACCCATTTCTGCTGGTGGTGCATATTAATAGATGATGTGTGGATAGAAGGATGTGTTTTAGATTAGACATTCATATATAGCATTTGTGGAAACTGTAAATACAATACAGTAAATAAAATCTTTTACATTATTAAGGAAGTTTTTTGTGTTTGAACAGGTTGAGGAACTAGTTTATAGGCATACTATGATTTAAGCAAATGTGATAAGTGAAAAATCTTAATTTTATAAGAAATTTTGGTAAATAATGTTTTGCTTAGAATGTCCAAGTTTTAATTTGATTTTCATGTTTAAGGGCTCATCTCATCTATAGCTCAGAATATGAAGAATTGACTTTTGGAGTTAAAAGCCACTTGACTGCTAATGTATAACAGCAAACATCAACTTTTTATGTCTCAATTGAGCTTTGTCTTAATATTTAAAAGAAACTAAAAAGGAAAATGGGAAGATGAGATAATGTGAGGAAAGGAGACACCTGCGACGTACATTGCAGCTCGTGGAGTTGGTCATGAGGGGGATTCGGTTGTAGCTGCAGATGAACATTTTTAAACATTTTCCCTGATATGTTTTTTGTATGTGAAATTACATTGGACTTTGTATATGTAAAGATGTTTTTATATTGAATGTTTTTATATTGAATGTGTATGTTTTGAAACCTGTTACTTACATGATTTTCTTTTTTTTTTTTTGCCTTGGAATACATTTTAAAACATGAATTTTTTAAAAAAATTATAAAAATAAAATTCCTAGAATTTTTTGGAAAAACATTTTGGCCTATTCCAGACTCCTTGCTTATCTTTATCTGTTGATTAGAAGACTAATGTGAACGATAAAGCTAATCCATCAACCTTTCCATCTAAGCCTTATTAACTATATGTAAATTCAGTTATATCAAATTTTCTGCATGTCTCTTCAGTGTGTGTCTATGATGGTTGCTGCTCAGTGAGCTGGCATGAAGAAGGACCTGTAAAAAAGAGAATTCATTTATTCACCTACTCATATCTTTCACTTATTCATTGAACAGTATTCATTGAGATCTACCGTGTGCCTGGCATTTGGTATAGGTATTGGGGATACAGGAGTTAGCAAAATAAAATACTGCTGCCGTTGGGAACTTACATATAATATTACTATTATATACTAATCTACACTCAATTACATGGTATAAATTCAGTGGGAAGGGTTACGGTTTTCGATGGAGTTGCAGTGGTGACCCTGGAGTACAGACCTGAAAGAGGAGAGGAATTGTGAGCCATGCATGCATCTGGAGACAGTGCCACAGAGAGGATGCAGCACGTACAGGCTTTAAAGTGTTCCAGGAACAGCAAGGAGGCTGGTGTGGCTGGAGAAGAGTGGGAGGAATACAACAGGAGTGGCAGGCAGAGAGGAATCAGGGCAGCACTGAGGATTACCTCCCCGGCCCTGTAAGGACTTTTGCTTTGACTCTGAGATGGGAACCAGTGTAGGAGTTTGAGCAATGGAGTGATCAGACTTAAACTTGAGCTTCGTCACTTGGGACTCAGTTGAGAGGGGGACAGGGAGACCATTGAGAAGCCTTTGTAATCACGTGGACAGAATGAAGTTGGGTCAGATGAGGATGCCAGTAGAGGTCGTAACAAGTGAATTCTGGATATATTTTGGGGGTAAGAGTCAATAGGAATTGCTGATGGCTTGGATAAAGGTTGAGGGAGAGGAATTGCTTCAGTTTGGAGTCGTATCCCAAAGGCCCGTGTATTAAATGGTGGTGCTATGGGAAGTGGTGGAACCTTTAGTAGGTGGGGCTCATTCAGGTCACTTGTGGCCTGCCTTTGAATGGAACATGGGGACGCCAACCCCTTCTTGTCTCTTTTACTGCCTAGCCATCGTGAGATGAAATGATCCTCCTCTGCCACGTATTCCCACCATGATGTGCAGTGCTACGCCAGGGCCAAGCAACCACAGGCTGTAGCCATGAGCCCAAATAAGCCTTTCCTCCTCTTGAGTCCATTTACCTCAGGTGTTTTTTTTTTTTTTAATTAACAGCGATGGAAAGTTAACATAGAAAGTTGATATCATGTGGGGTCATGGTCGTGACTGTGTTTGACAGTGTGGTTCAGGATTGTTTGGAACTCGTTTGCAGGAGTTTAAACTGGAAAAGTTTGGAGGAACTGGCTGGAGGAAACCCAGAATGCTGTAAGAAGAACTTACAGTGGACATTTCTGGTGAGGACTCAAAATGCTGATAAAAACGCAGACAGTAAAGGTCATTGATGATGCTCATGAGGTTTCAGATGGACAGGAGCCGGTTGGGAACTGGATTTAGAGACCACCCACATAATACTGGGGCAAAGAATTTGGCTTCCTTTTGCCCATGCCCTGAGACTGTAGGAGGTTGAGCTTAAAGGTGCCTATGTATCCCGTGGAGGAAATTTCATCATTCAGACAGTGGTAGGGGTATTGCTGGCTGCTTTTCATCAGATTTTACACAGAGAATTGGGAGCAAGAAGTTGAACAGAAAAATGTGGAAAGCTTGTAATTTGGCCAGAAAAGAACCAAGCATAAAGTTCCGGCCAAGGAGAAAGAATACAGTTGCGGGAGAGATCAGCACAATATAAAGCAGCCAAGTGATTTGCACTGGGATCCTAGGAAAGGTACCCTGAGGGCATGTCAGGCATCAGCAAGGCTCCGCCCACCACAGGCTCAAAGGTGTGAAAGTATGAACTTCGAAAGAATTTCCTTTGAGAAGAGAGCCCTGGGGTGGTGTTCTCCATTGGACTGACTAGTGAATCGGCTGCCTGGAATTTAATTTCCTGAGCTCAGCTGTCAGGGCACTTAGAGGCTTCTGCCATGATTCAGATGGTCCCTGATGTAGCTCACACAGGTGACAGACCTTGGCATCATCCACGTGCTGCTGGCTTTGTGGGCATGCAGAATGTAGGAGTTAGAGGACGTGGGGTCTTCCCCTGAGATGTCACTGGAAAGCCTGAGAGGCCAGGCCAGGCCGCTCGTCGCAGGCTCTGAGTCCCTCAGGCAGCCCTGACAGGGCCATGCACGAAGCTGTAAGAGTGAATCTGAATTTGCACTGGAGACCTCAGGTAGTTAGAGATGGCAGGAAGGTGGGCCATCTGCTAAGGGATGCTGTGGGCAGTGAGCAGAGCCAGCCCAAGACACCTCATGCTGCCAAGTGTCCTGGATGCCAGGTATGGAGTCTTAGGATTACCGTCTCCCCTCCTGGGATTCAGTCTTTCTTTGATCTGATCCTGCCTTTCAATACCCCTAGTCCTGCCTTTGGGAATGGGAGTGTTCACCCTGTGCCATTCTCTTAGAAGCACATAACTTGTATTTTTTTTTTTTTAATCATTGCAGGATTACATCTGAATTTGCCTTGAGTATTGGAGACTCTGGGTTTGTCCTTTGGAGCATGCTGGAAGAGTTAGACTTTGGGGACTTTTAGAGATGGATTAAATGAAGGTTGCTTTATGAAATGGACATGAGCCTTTGGGGTCGAGGGGAAGTTTTTCCTCAAAGGCTCCTGTGTTAAAAGGCTTGATCACCAGCCTGTGGTACCATTGAGGGATGATGGAACTATTAGGGCCCGGTGAAGGGAGGTAGGATCACTGGGGGGGGAGGACCCCTGAAATGGATGTTGGGACCTCAAGCCCTTCCTGTCTCTTACCTCCTGGCCACCATGAGTTAGTTGAACAGGCCCCTTCCTCCATATGTTCTTGACACAGTGTATTGTGCTACCACAGACCCAAAGTGACATGGCCAAGTCTGAAACCAAGTCTGAAACAATAAATCAAAAGAAACCATTCCTTCCTTTAAGTTGATTTGTCTCAAGTTATTTACTTACTTATTTTCATACCAGGGATTGAATCCAGGGATGCTTAACCCCTGAGCCACATCCCCAGCCCCTTTCATTTTTTTATTTTGATAAGTTGCTTAGGGCCTTACTAAGTTGCTGAGGCTAGCCTCAACCTTGCAATCCTCCTGCTTCAGCCTCCTTGAGTCACTGGGATTACAGGTATTTGTCACCATGCCCGGCCCTCAGGTTTTTTTTTTTTTTACTAGTGATGGGCAGTTGAAAATATACAAAAAAATGATGCCAAGGTTTTGGCCTGTTCAATGGTAAGAATGACAGAGTTGCCATCAACTCAGTTGAAGACTATGAAGGGAGCAGGTTTTGACGTAAGTTTGAGATGCCAATTAAACATCCAAGTGAGGGTGTTGATTGGATCAGAGGGCCTGGACTTCATGGGAAAATTCCAAGCTAGAGATAGAAATATGAGATGGAAATAGTGAGTTGATGGCACTTAAATAGCCCCGGGGCCAGATGACATCAGCTGTGATGTGCCCGTAGGGAGAAGAGGCAGGTGGCTCAACACTGCGTCCAGGGCAGTCTGGAGGTCAATGAGATGCAGGGCCAGCACAAGAGACAGAAAAGGTCCTACAAAGAGCCAAAGTGGCAGTTTGGTGTGGGAGGTGTAGCAAATGCCGGGCAGGGCCTTGCAGATTCCTTTATCTGTTTGTCCAGCCATCTGTCTGTCCTGTACGTCACAAACATCTGCTGAAGTAGCACCGGGCACTATTTTTTAAGTAGCGCACAAAGCAAATGGCAGCTGTTGGGGAGAATGTGGCCAAGGCGTAGTAAGAAAATAAGAAGCCACCAGCGTTCGTCTTGTCTATAAAATGAGCATCACTTCCTCCCAGGGCTGTTGTGAGAATTTGATAAGACAATGCTCACAGAGTATTTAAGTCACTGCTCGAACCTAGAAAGCACTCCGGGCACATCCAGTGATGTCATCTGGACCATGTCGTGGACAGTTCCGGACCTGCCACCCTGCTGCCATTCCTGCCCTTCTGCATGATGGTTCCCGAGTGCTGCTCTCCATCTTGTTGAGCTTTGCTGCTAAAACCCTCTTGCTTCCGTGGCTCTGTCTGCACAGCTCTCTCTTCTGTTCTGCACCTCCCACCCCCAATTTTACATTTTCCTTCCCAACTTTCATACACCCTTGGAGGTGACCCTCGAGGGCTGGGGATCTGCCCTCCCTCCGCAGCCTCCTTTCCTCCACCACGGCTTCTGTTGCTTTGCAGCTGTTTGCTCACCTCTTGGGGGCCGCCCTTTACATCATGTCCTCCTCGGAAACCAGCTCTGTCTTTTATACCAGATTCTAGCAGCCCGACCTGTCATGAAAGCCTCGGTGAACATCTGTAGAAGGACTGAAGCTCCCGTGTGCGTGGGACCTCTCACGAGGGCGTCGAATCAAGCCACAGCCTATCACCTGCCTTTTCTTTATCTTCCCATTTCAATTTGGTATCTTTACTGTGAAACATCATTAGGGGAAAGTAAAACTTCACTTGGATAAACGAGGTTTGCTACCAAATTATAGGAAATGAATAAACATATCCCCGGGGCGTTCAGCTACCAGCAGGTGAGGACACGTGCTACTCAACAGACGTTTTACATTATAATTTACTTACCGACCTTTAGAAAAGGAGAAAATGATTTTCTAATAATTCTAATCTCTGAAGATTGTCACTGCAATAGATTCCTTGCTCAGAGGTCCCCCCCTTAGGACTGTGGATATGCTGTACGGGTATTAAGACGCCTGAATCGGGACAGGAGCTGCTTTGGGGCCATGAGCTTCACTGTAGAAGCACAGTTGTGTATTGTCACCTGGAAGGGGCTGGAGAACTGCCTCAGTGTGGGATT